ATCCTGCCTCTCAGGCTGATTCATAAAACGCATGATGCATGCACATTGTAAGGAATCCAAATACTATGTCCATTGTTTTCACATCAATTAGGAAGATCTGGCAGAGATACAGTTATCTTATTATTCTGTAAGGTAGTTCAGATTTCGTACATACCTCTTAAATTTGATGATGACACTGTCTTAACGTGCAAGTCCTGATATAAGCAGATATCTTAATGTTATAGTATTAATGACATTATCTTATTTTGTTGCATAACATCTTTGTGAGAGTGTTGCTACTATCATATTATTAGTAATTTTCCATATATTATGTTCTTTCTCAGGATTCTAACTGTAGATAGAATATCCCCCTTTCCTCCAATAAGCTTTTATTTATTTGACTTGGTTGCCATTATGGTTAAAAGTTTGTAACAGATTTTTAAACTATTTTCTTCTAAGCTAACAAGCTCAGATTTTTCGCTCAATTCTATTTGGATGGCAATACAGTTGTGGTGAAGCAATTTTTCTTTCCTTCGAAAATTCAGTTCTGATTTATTTAAAATTAATGTTGAAAAGATTTTTTGCATAATATATCTTAATTTAACTAATAAAGTTAAAACTTCAGAATTTTACTTTTTACACTGTTAGATAAAGGGGGGGGGAATTAAAATTATGTTAATATGAAACTTTTGACCTAATTTCTGATTTTTTGGGCAAATTGTTGAAAATCACTTGACCTTCCTTCACCAACTGACATCCATTATTTTAGGAAATTTAATATTTAAAAAAGTATTTGTTATACATTTTTGAAATTTCCACAGATTACAAAACTCTCTTTTAAAATAACCACAAAAAGATATTTACAGGCCGAGCTTTCTCTGTTCTTTTGCAGCAGAAATATCCTCTCTTCATTAGGTGTCACTTTATTTGCTTGGAAACATTGTTCAAAGTTATCACTGTGTGTCACACTACATTTCTTCACACTTTTTTAAAACAAAAATGGTAAAATATTCGTTAGGTGACTTTCTAGAATTTTTTAAACCTAGTCCTGTAACTTGCTAGACTGAATGCATGCCAGATGTAACTGGATTACAATTCATATTGGTTTTGTTTTTATGGTACTTTTCCTTAATCTGCCCAGAAATCTGGCAATCGTATCTCGTTATATTTTGGTGGCCATTTTTATTTTTGAAATTCTCTTTTTGAGTCTCTCATTGTTTGGTCTTTGAATTACCATTCACTGAAAAAGATTCGGTAGAATATTTCCAACAATGTGGAGTTCTCCCAAGTAATGGAAAATGTTCAAATCTTCTTTATATGAGTTTGTATATCACCGATAAAAAGAATATGTGGCGATGTCATAGCTGTCGAGATGTCAGCATTAGGAAAGGTAACTAGTTTGAAACGTACACAAACTGTGAAGCATTAATGGGGATCAGCTAAATGAAGAAATAAAATACAACGTTGTACCAAAATGCCACATCTCATATCCTATCTGTCAGAATTTATATGGAGGAAAAAGCAAGCAGGAGAAATTATTTTGATTCCCTTATAGGGGCAATAGGCAAACAGTTTCCACCTGAAATAAATAGTAATTGACATAAACAACACCCCTTCTACCCTTTTTACAATTAAATTTATTTTTCTTCATTGCCTTATTATTAATTGTGTAGTATATCATATGTGTTATTAGATCATATTATTTGTTCATACGATTTTATCATATTGCAGGCAGATAAAGGAAAAGTACCGTTTTTATCTGTTCAGTATTCAAATACTTACTTACTTGTCAGATGAGATCAATTGATGGCGGCTTTTAAAGTAATATATAAAACTGTACTGAAACAGTTTTAATGTAAAGTAAATAAGTTCATTCTTTTTCTTAAGTTTTGTATGCACTGTTTGAAGTAATATTTACAAATTAATATGAAAAAATATGTTGGGTTTTTCGTGTAATTATTATTTAATAATAGTAAATAAGCATGGATGGTGTTTATTCTAAAAATTAGGAAGGCATGTAAAGCAGTTTCGAAAAACAGTCATTTCAGTTCCATTTATTCTTCTGCATCCTGTATTATTATCCTTCTGCTACCTTTCTTTATGTCTTTATAGAATTTTCAGCCCTTCTATGTGTGTATGAATCATTCAGACTTACTTCTGCTTCCTGCTCCTTCCTTTCTTTTGGGATTTTTTAGCATGCTTAAGAATAAATATGAGGTGTACTAATAATTTGTTGTACCTCCCCATCAGAGATGAGTTAGTCCTGAGCATGGAAATGCTCATGTTTTTAATGAATGTTTAACTGGTTATTCAGTGTTGTTTAATCGTCCGTTAGTTGTGTCGTCCTTTTCAACATGGTTAGTCGCATTGCATCTGTGAGGTGTTTCTCATTTTTAAAAATCCAAGCGAAATTTATTCTAGTTTAAATAGTTAATTGTTACCTATTTATGATTCTTTGGAGTTATAAAGTATTACACAACTTATTTAATCAGTAAATTTATTCAAAAATAGTATCACAACTAATTCAACAAAAATAAAGTAAAGCAAATGAAAGTAAATTTGTAAAAAAACAGTTTTTTATAGGAACTACTTATCACAATATCACCTATTCAAGAGAAAAATATTATTATAAAAGCTGTCTGATTCAGCACTATCTTCCTCTTAACTGGAGTTTTTCCAAGCATGTTTATAAAGTGTGGTAACATGGCTCAAACATTTTGTATTTTTCGTTGTTTATTATTTTGATATTGTTCTAATAATTTTCATTTCTTGGCCTGATTGCTAGACTACATAGGTTTATTTTCTGGCTCGAGAAGGTTGTTTCATGATCTCTGTCAGTCTAAGGTGGAAGTACTATGTTTAGCCATTTGATGTAAGAAGGTCCTACAATTTTTCACGTCGTAACCATTTCATGAGTGTATAATCTAAGCATTCAGGTCTCACAAAGTCACTGTACTAGCTAGTCTATGCCACTAAAGAATTAAGAATTGATTCATCGATGAAAAGTAACCAAGAGTCAAAAATCGTCTCAGCTTTTCTTGCATCACCAGTCTCATCTGGCAAGTATACCAGTGAATTCTGTATGCTGCTTTTTCCTTCCTGCTTGATGGTGGATGTTTATTCCATTGGTAGGAATCAACAGTCTTTCCATTCATCTTTCGATAGGCTATGTAGTATTTATCATTATTGAAATTTTTGTCCTGAAATGATGAATCAACATAGTTTTGCTCTGTTTCTGAATCTTGGTCCCTCGCTTGAAGATCGTATGTACTGTTAATATTGGATTCATCTCCAAAATCCTTCTCTATTGAATTATCGTCAAATGGTATTCTGTGAATTTAATTAATGTCTTTGGGGTTATTCAAAACAAAGGATCTGTTTTCAAATCCATTCTAAAGGAGGGAAAATGATCAGAGTGAAAACGAATTTAGTCACTTTGCAATTATTAGGTGATTATAATATTTCTTGCATTTACTATGTATGTTCAGTCTACCAAAAATATCCTAGTAATTGCAGAAAATAAGATAAAAAAAAAGAAAATATAGAATTTATAAAAATATCACATCCATAATACTTACAGCAATGGTTTAAATTAACGTGTGGAGTGAATGAAGCTGCCGCAACTCTGTTCCGACATGTTTGGAGCTGAGTAGTTCACTGACCCTTGGGTAATCAAAAGTTAGGAAGATAACATGAAGCCCCTTCAAGTATCTTTTGATGACAGAGGAAGCGTAAGTTCAGTTGTGATGCACAGGGCTGGATTTACATGTAAGCTACACAAGCTATAGTTTAGCATCCCCGAAAAAATTAAAATGTAACAGACTTATAAAGGACCCCATATCTCAAATAGCTTAGTGGCTTATCAAATCTAAATCTAACTCTGGAGATGCACCTGTGAGTTGCATGCGACTGACGGAAGATTGATGAGTGTTTGTAATCGATTAGCTAATGGGTAAGTATGCTGTTCAAAATTTAAGCATAATCTTAAAAACGTACACTCACTGATTAAAGTTATCAACCACTATGCTGTGAACCATTGTTCCTGTTTAAGGAGGATGTAAACCAAAGTTTAGTGATGTAATAATTTGTCCAATATCTGCAACTGAACACAAAGTTGGACTTCTGCATAGGTTAGGGCAGGAAATGGGCAAATTAGGTGACTGACAATGTATTGTCTTGAAATTCATCTTGAAATTCAGGTGAGTAGTGCTGCTTAAAGTTAATTCTTCTAAAAGTGATCAGTATTTGTTAGTTATGTGAATTAGGATTTGTAAGAAGTTACACAAAGGTGGACAAGGCTTTGAAATCCCTGAAAAGGCTCTTCAGAGGTGCTGTTGGCCCAGATTTGACAGTGTTCGCCTTCATTATGACATGGCAGTGTTTGCCTTCATCAATCTTATCTGGTATCAGAATACATAGAAATAAAAATCTTTCAAATCTGTTGACCAGGTCACTCACCAGATCTGAACCCAGCTGAGCATGTATGAGTTGCCTTTAGGCCACTGAATTTAAGTGTGGCCAATGTTATCTTGGACCCTGCAGGACTGAAATGTGTACTTTCTGAAAAACGGCATGCAAGTCTGCGAGACTTAAAAACAACAATCTACCAATGTTATGAAATGTATGAGATTTGCATTTTTGTCAAAGGTGATCATACTATTTAAAAAAAAATGTGAACCAGCCGGGATCACTATTACATTTCCATAAATTTAATTTTAAATGCAGTATTTTAGATTAATCAACTGTCAGGTATGGTAAAAATATCTGTACCAATAATTTTTTTGTAAAGTATCAGTTGAAGTTTTATTTCTGTCAGTATCCTTTACTCTTGACAAGAATCATATTAAAGTAAACGTGTGTTTATATGAGACAATATACTGATTTTTATTTTTGTTTCCATTTATTCATCAATTGGCCAGCTTACTTATCTATTGTTGGTTTTGTTTCTTTAAAATCTTCTTTTCAGAAGAGGTTTTGTTTAAAACTATTTACTGAAGTGATTTTTTTTTTTTTTTTTCCAGCTGATCCTGAGCATGGATCATGGGAAAGTGGGCTGTCATATGAATGCAGAACTCTGCTATTTAAAGCATTGCACAACCTTATTGAAAGGTAATGAATTAATGAACTCTTTTTAGATCTAGGAAGCATATTTATTCTATATACGTAATGAGTAGTTATTTGTTTTGGCATTCTGTAATTTATGTTTTCTCTTTGCTACCATCTCATCATTTACTGACATTCTATCTGCAAATAGGAATTTGTTATCAAGAGGTTACTCACGCCTTGGGAAGTGGTTTGTACAGCCCTATGATAGTAGTGAAAAGACCATTAGAAGGTATGTATGCATATTTTTTAGTAGTGTATATTTTCTGTAATTTTACATAGTGTTTGTGTATATAATACATGCTGTTGCAAATATATATATATATATGCACTCAGAAAGAACTTAAACCACAACTATGAAACTTGTATATAATAGTCGAGTAGTATATAGGCAGTAGTTGAGTAGATAAACCGATGATCAAAAACTAGGATGAAAAAAGTGTTTTATTTATGAGTAGCAATGCAAAGAATGTGTAAATCAGTAGGTGGTAAAGCATTCTGATATGGCAGATATATATGCAAGCTCTTTTAATTGGTTGATCATCTCATGCATTGGTGGCCTAGTGATGTCCTGAGCCGCTGAGGCAGTTGCCTATGCTTTCACTGAGTCAATGGTTCCGACAAGGACAAGAACCATACCGCTTCGACCAATATGCTGGCCGATCCACCCGTTCGACCAGCTGGCCTCTTTTAGCCCTGTGATGTGACCCCTTTCAAAGTGTTGTGTGGGTTTATATAGAAAAACTTATATAGCTGTAGAGGAATCACAAATTATTTCTAATATTTTGGACATCAGTGAGGAAAATTACAAAGATTAATTCAGGGTTCATAGCGGTCTTTATAAGTGCTTTATAAGTCCTTATATTTAAAACTAAAATATAAAGGCCCTTATAGGTGCTTACTTTTTCTTTAAAGCCCTTATTTTTTTGTTTTTAGTGCTTATTTTTTGCTTTTTTTTTTTAGTGCTTTTTTTTTTTTTTTTTTTTAATGAACGCGCTATTTTTCCCCCTATACCAAAGCCGAAACTAAATAAACAACTTTTCTTAATATTGAAATGTCAGGTGGTGAATCATACTCCCGGAAATAGCTTTTCCCCCTTTCTCTCTGCATTAACATAACCTTTGGTGCGCACAAAGAGTACAGACAGGTGCCCGTCGTTCTATTTTGGTCAAAGAATTGCGAAAGCAGTAGAAAATTTCGGTACATTCGGCATTCTTTTCCTCTCACCCAAATACTATACACAAATTTATCTACATTCAGTTCATATTTGTTTTAGATTCATATGTATATGATGATGTTTATAATAACAGTTGCAGTAACTGCTGAAGTATAGTAAACTTCCAAAAATGGTTGTATTTTAACACAGATTAGCTTTAAGGAATAATATTCGGAATGGCTTAAATAAAGGGAAAGTAATCGAATAGTCAAAATAATTTAATTTTTTTTGGCCAATACATTATATAGTGCGAAGATTGGGAGGTTCTCCCCTTTCTCCGCAAAATCTCAAATATTGAAACTGTTACAAGTTCGCTGCAAAACAAGCAACGGACTTTTTTTTTTTTTTTTGTCACTTTCCAATCTGGATTGAATAGGACTAAAAGTTCTGTGGTCTACCAACCCAAGCGAAGAATGATTCTATTGCGGAAATTTAACGCCGTCTGTTGAAAATTAGAATGAAAAACACCCCAGTTACTCATTTTAGTTCTTTATTCTCCCAATACCCAGCAGCTGTTGATTCCGATTGCGTAATATCACGTAGGGAAGAATTACGGCACACGTATTGCGCAATAACGTTTGCGATATTTTGCAGAGATAATTAATTTTGATGTTCTGTTTGAGATTTGTTTATGAACACTTAAAAGAGTTTTACTGTGCTTGCTAAGCAGAATATTTTTCAGTTCCATTGGTTTATTTTTATATGATTCACATATCAAAATGTCAAAAGCATTTATTTAGCGGAAAAATCTAAAGAAGTGGCTACAGTCAACCCCCCCCTCCCTCCGCTCCTCTTTTTCAAGTTACGCTCGAACTGTCCGAATATTCGCCAGTTTCCAAGTATGCGGCTTAGTTAAGCTTTTACTGTTAAAGGATGACTGCATGAAGCAAATTTCTGTCTTCTGATTTCAGAAATGTTCCTCTTTTTTACTTAAATTACTTTGCTTGCAATATCTGTTAAGAGAAAACTGATATACAATGAAAATTTAGAAAATATTCAGAATTTAGATTTAAATTATTTAAATATTAATATGAGTGGAAAAATAAATTGTATTTATTATTAGGTTCCAAGCAAATACAATAAATATGCCTTATTATTATTTATTTTCTCTATTTTGAACTGAAATTTCATCATTAAATCTTGTAATATAGTTTAGTTCTGCATAGTTTTTTTTTTTTTTTTCTCTCATTGTAAACTAGTTCTGTAAATTGAACTGTTATTTAAAATTTAAAGGGAAAAAAAAAGTAATTATTTTCCATGGTTGAGGTAATGCTTATTCTCTCTTAATAAATACTGCATTTCTCATATTTTAAATTACAAGTCTAATTTTTAAGGTTATGCAGTTGTGTATAATGTCATTAGACAGGTGCTTATTTTTTTTCTTAAAATGTGCTTGAAAAGTGCTTATAGGTGCTTATTTTTTTAACTAAAATGTGGCTATGAACCCTGTTCATTTTTAGAATATGCTGCAATTGATGATAATATTGAGACATCCTGTGAAAACATTGTCTACAATATTATAGAATATGCTAAAAGAGTTGAAGAAACCAAAACTGACAGTGAACGTGACAGGGAAGAAAGTGACTACATGCTAACCTCAGCTGAATCTAGAAAAGCACTGCAAACTCTAAGAATTCTTGAATTGAAAGGTGGAGATCAGAAAAGCTACCACAGTTTCACAAACTTGAAAGATTGCTGCTGAATAATGCAAAACAAATACAAATAGAGTAGTTCTTTGTAAAAGTTTAACCCTTTCGGCACGGAAGAGTTGCCCGCAGTTATACACACATGGTATGAGGAAGTTTTCAACAAAAGTGGTTGCACTAAATGGCAGTGTAAGCCATGAAAGTGTGTTTTGCGGCATTCATATTCGTTTATTTTAGATATGCAACATTTTCACTAATAAAAAGTAGAAATCTAGTCATAATTTCACTGATGATCACTTTGAGAAGCTTATCTTTACACCAATATTCCTTTAATAACCTTTTGTTTTGCATCATTGATAAAGATGCAGCAATAAAAGAATATCAATCATTCATTTCCATCCTTTCTGAAAACTCCAAGTGATTGCTTTTAAGTTGTCAGTACCAGTATTTGTTTGTTTTTTACACAATGAATTAAATCTTCAGAAAAAAGCAGTCGGGTGTAATCTAAAATTCCTAATGAGCGAGTTAAATTGCTTCCTACTACTCCCGAAAATTGTGGCATAAAACCAAGAATTTTTAGGCTAAACCTCTTAGGAATCCATTTGATATCAGAAGGAGTATCAGTTCATATTTCAAGTTCCTTTGTTTCAGAATATGAGGTGCTAAGTATAAGTGCCAATTTTTCCCCCCCCCCCCCCCCCCCCCCCCCCCCACCCCCCCCCCCCCCCCACCCCCCCCCCCCCCCCCCCCCCCCCCCCCCCACCCCCTATAATTATACATTTTCAGAATCACTTTCTGAATAAATTATTTCCTTTATCCATTGTTCTTTGTTCAAACATTTTTCACTCATCCTGACAGGAACTAAATTCAAAGCGTAAGCATTAAAAAAATTTACAGTATAAACAATGCACCAATTTGTTTTCCATAGCTTATTTTAGAACATACGTAACTAAGGAACACTGTTGACTGTTACTAATCAAATAATGGGATGATTAGAGCAGCCACAAATTTTACCCACAGAATAGTAAAGTTGTGCATACTGTGGAGAGTAATCATATTCACATAACTTCGTGTAAATGATGGTTTAGGTGGCACAGTGGTCGTTCCCAGAAAATGTTTCGTAACAAGTGCCAGTGGGTGGCATTAGTGCCCAGACAACATTTTGTGGCCACCACCAATGAGTGGCATTAGTAGTCGAATAGGTTAAAATTAAGTAAACTTTCAAGTTTTTGCGAATTGCCTTTTCGAAATAATTTATATGTTCATAATGACTTTAAACTGCTATAATTTTGAAGTATTCTTCCAGTTATTGAGCTGGAAGTTGAGTTTGCAATTAAATTTTTGGCTATCTATTTAAACAAGCCTAAAATTTGCATAACAGAAATTCATTCATTGTAATGAAAAATTAAAAAAATTATCTTATATGTTACGACTAAATAAACTACTAGTATGTATATAAATTTAATTTTATAATTCTAATTTTGATTATTACCTGAACAAATCTATATTTTCTTTGCTTATTAAATCTTTTGATTGTCATCAAGGAGCACAGTGGCATTCCAGTTACACACCACAGTGGTTGCAAATGAATGCAGCTCGCATTTTAAATTTATGGACATATATCGAGTGTTTCCGGGAAAAAAGAATCGATTAATCGCGTAAAGGTTGATAGAAGTTTTGCGTACATCTGTTTTAATATTTAGAAACTATTTGTGTATAAAAACTTGCAGATTATTTGAATTCAAATCTTTAACTAAATTCATGATCATTATATAATTCCTGATTAAGAATTTTAAATTTTTGCATTAAAATTCTTGTATGTAGTAGCTCACTTATTTTTTCCCCTTTGTAGCCCACAGCTTTCTTTTTCTTTTAACTTCTTTATTCATGGTGAGAGTACTGTGTGCGCTAGTGTGGATGTCAGACAACGAATTCCAGTGTGTCAACTGACACGTCATCATTTAACTCTAGCACAGGAATGTCATACAGGGCTTAAAGGTAATATTTAAAATTGATATTTACATATGTAAACTCATTTATCACTTTTGGCATTTGGAAGTCTCTAAATGTTAATTATGTATCAGTAAGTGTAGATTAGCAAAAAGCAATTTTGATCATAGACGTTGTTTCCATTTCATTTGCCCAATGCAAAAATTTCACATAATAGAATACTACACTGGTTATCATAAATTAAGGGAAAATCACAAAAATCACGATTACTGAAAAAGTTACCTGTGGAATTTAATGAAACTTACCCACAATATACAACACATAGTAAGGTATCAAATAACATAAAAAGAAATTATCAGACAAATATGGTAGTATAGCAGTTAGCACATGTATAAAATGAACAAATCGAAGGTGTCAGTTTGCTATAGGAAAAGTACTTTCAATATGGAATTATGGTCGCTTCTAGAAGCAATACAGCACATACAGTGATGTGTGATGCTTTCAATTATACGGTCTATCAGTTCCATAGGAAGCAAGAGCCATTGCTCTTGCAAAGCAGTTGCAAGTGCGACAAGGGTCTGAGAGCAGCTAGATGTCTCCTTAAAGCATCCCAAACGTGCTCGATAGGATTCAAGTCCGGGGATCGAGCTGGCCAATAGTCATGTGCATAATTGTTTTCTGTTGAAGATAATCATTTACAATGCAAGCCTTGTGTGGTCTTGTCCCGGTGTATGGGCACACATAAACATCAAGGAGTCATCTCTATAAATCTGAGCATTCACGGTTCCCCTTGGAAAGACATGGAGGTCTGTGCGTCCACCCAAAGAGATGCCACCCCAAACACAGACACTGCCCCTTCCGTATGCATCTCTTTCACGGATGAGAAGGGGTTCTAGGTTCTCTCCATATCAAGTAACGGCTACTATCGCTTTCTAGACTAAACCTGGGCTCATCCGTGAAGAGAACTGCCCTACATTGATCAGGTGCCCAGTGGACATGTTGTCGTGCCCCCTGAAAAATGGTCCCTTCTATGGCATGACGTGAGTGGCACACAAGTGACTGGTCGCCTTGCATACAGACCACCTTCGTGGAGCCTTTCTACACACGGTTGAGGTTGACATGAACCTTCCGGTGGCTGCAGCAAGGGAGGATCTAAGAAGAGTCGAAGTAGTGGTTCTATTCCTGTGTGCACATAATGTCAAATATCGGTCATCGGCACTCGTCATAGCAGTTGGCCGTCCTTGGCTGAACCTCCTAGATGTCGAATCTGTGGTTTGAAATTGCCTCCAATGTCTATGAACCACAGAAGGACTTGCATTTAGCCATCTGGCCACTTCTGTTTGACTTTGTCCTGCCTGTAGTCTCCCAATGGCTCTCCCATCGCAGTTCTGCAGGCAAATGATGCCTGGAGGTCATTGTTACGAATTGACTATCTCAGATTTCTGATGTCACTGTCACATTGAAATATGTGGGCTTGCTCTCAAACATGGACTTTTATCCTCCTTGCAGATGATGTATTCCGAAAGCAGCGCCACTAATTTCCATATCGCAGTTTTACTCAGCTACTCTTACTTGGCAACATATTCAAATTTTACACGGTTTGGCTTATTTTTGAGGGAGTTATCGCTATTTTTGTGATTTTTCCTTAATTTATGATAACCAGTGTATAAAGCTTTGGCCATTGATATAGCAGCAGACTCTTTGCAAAACCATGTGCACTCCAAGCTGAGCGATCATTTTCACTCGCATTAGTGGAGCTGTAATCGTATTTATCAGTGTTTTTCATGAATGCGCTTGAAAACATGTAGTTTTCAGCAAATTTTAAACATGGTTATCACTTTTCATGTGCCTTGAAAGCTGCCTGCGATCTGTTTTGCAAGTTGAAATTAAAAGCATTATATTTTTACTCATAAGTCATTCTGAGGGAATCGTAGGTAGTACTGAAGAGCTTCAGAGAAAAACTTCCGTAGTACTTTTGAAGCATTAGAAGAGATTGTTGTCATTCACTGAGAGGCTATTTTGAAGCAGATAAGTCAAAATTTAATAAATTTATTTACAGAATTTATTTTTAATAAAGTCTTTAATCCTTATGGGATGGATGTGTAATATATGCATTGGCTGCCAATGTTATATCACAGCCAGGTGCATCATAATCACTGTTTAAATTTACACTTAGAACAGGTATACCACATAATGAATTTTTAAATAGAATATTAAATTAGAATTTTTTGTTGGCACTAGATCTAGCGTAGTGTCTGTTATAGTGGAATTTATTGAGAGTGGAGAATGTTGACCCTTATTCTGTGGAAATTCTTTTTGTAATTTATTTCAAAATCAAAGCAGAAGCTGTGGTGATGACTAATGTAAACAAACAGAACTGGCTATTAAATAAATGTGTAAGTTCATATAAATGGCAGGGGGAATGTTCTGGATGCTTCTGAATACTTTTGTTTTTATTTTTGGAAATATGGCATATATGTCCTATCGTTTTAGAAATTTTATTCTTTCCTTTTAGAATTTTGCTAGCATTGACATATTATGCGTATCCTATAGCAAAACAGCCCACCAGCGGCCGAGCGGTAAAGTCGCTGAACACTGGTAGTTCGGTCCGAGGTTCGAATCCCGCGAACGGGCTGGCTGCATGGGCGTTTTCGTGGTTTTCCCCATGTGTAACGTGTATACGAGCCAGTTTCCCTTAGAAAGTCCTCCATGAAAGGCATCCCTCCCCTTAGCCAGATAGCCCTCGTGTGCTTTGCCATAATTAGATACACACACACCTATAGCAAAACATTTTTTTTATCCTTCAAATGGTGAGAAAAATGTAATGATAAAATTTTAAAATTAAATCTGACAGCTACCTTAGATTCCTCTCATAATGTGCCAAAAATTTGAACAATTTGACTGTAAATTTAATTTATGTGAATTTTTTTTCCATAGTAGGTTTAGCAGTGCAAACTGCCCATCCCCACAAAACAGTGCATCCTGTTAGTGCACTGCTCTGAGAAAGTGGTTTGGTGCCCATCACAAAAGGATTAAAAACATTATTAAAACAACAGTGTATTTTTAACTAATCTAATCTAACAACTTAAAATAGTTTTTATTAACAGGCTAGTCATTTAAGGTATAAAATTGAAATAAATTGCATTTCATAAAAATGATTTAAGCAGCATTATAATTTTGCTGTTTTTAACATAAAAAGCTGATACTGTAGTGTTCCAAAAGACAGTGTGTAAATTTTATATTATGTTGTTTTCTTATAAGTGTTCAGTGAAACTATTGCTATGTGAGTTACATTTATTTCAGAATAAAAAATATCATTGTTAGCTCAAAGTTTTGAGAGGAAAAAAACTCATGTGTTCTTTCACTCTAGTTATCCTTTGTCCATATGGAATGGCAGGCACACTGACGGGTCAGAGCTACAAAGATACAGATATCACTACACAAAGATTATTGAGTGAATGGCACCATTTTTATCCTTTAAGGCCTCGGAATACGAAAGATGTATTAACAGAGGATGACCATATCATGTCAGCTGTGGAAGTCATTGTTGGTAAGAATTTCTGTTTGTTTTTCTTTTTTTATGCATATGTTAGTATAAAAAAATAGAAGCTGTAATCATAAAACATAAGGCAAGTATGTGATTTTTTTTTTTTTTTTTTTTTTTTTTTTGGTTTTTTTGTTTGTGGAAAGGGGGGAATAGTTGATCCATCAAGGAGACAGAACCAAATTACAACAGGCATTTTATGGTAGAAATTTGGTATTTAAATTATGCATATGCGAAAGGATATATGTTCTATCTTCATTTGTATAAACAGAAGAATAGAACTGAATTCAATTGCTTTATGCTTTTACAATTATTGCCTGAATTTAATATTTCTCCTTAATCATGTTGATGTAAATGTTATTGCATATTGCATCATTACTTTGAGAATAGCCAGTTTCATCTTATGTTTAATTTTTTACAGTTACAGTTTTGCAGTTTATCACATTGCATATTAAAATTTCTTTGCAACTCTGTATTATATTAGATTAAGTAGGAGATGCTTACACTCATAGCAAAACTAAGTGAATTTGCAGAATGGTCAAATTCCTGAAAACGTAATGGACAGATTTTAATGAAATTGGGTATGAATATACATTTATAACAGAGAAAGAGATGTACCTTTCAAAAATCATTTTATGAAAGTATAGTTATCAGAAGTGAAGGAATGTCCAAAATCCATGTTGAGACATCAAACTGAAAATAAGTCTGATGTGGGTGTATAGTCGTTTGTAACAGTTAGATAGGTCACACAGTGCTACAGTGTACTGGATAGGAGACAGTTCAGGACCCCTGCAATTGGTCTCACTCCTGCAACAAGGCAATTTTCAACTCCAGGATGGCGAAGATGAAATTGCCCTTCCAAGAGCATCCCAGACATGCTGTATAGTGTTAAGGTCAAGAAGTCTGGCTGACCAATTCATGTAGCGAATATCCTCGTTATTCAGGTAGTCATCGACCAGCTGATTCCTATGTAGAGGAGCAGTGTAGTCCATTAACAGGGACTCGGGACCAACTGCTCTTCAGTAAATTTCAACATAGGGCTCTGAGATCTTTTTTGTATACTTCATAGCAGTCGGGAAGTCTTTGTCAAACACATGCAGGGTTGGCTGTACAGCTATTCAACAGTTTGTCTGCCCAAACCATTACAGCTCCTTCACCGTAATGCAGTCGGCTTCATAGCAGTCGGGAAGTCTTTGTCAAACACATGCAGGGCTGGCTGTACAGCTATTCAACAGTTTGTCTGCCCAAACCATTACAGCTCCTTCACCGTAATGATCTTTTCCCTGATGACGGAAGGATGGTATATCGTGTTCCAGGTTGTCTCCAGATCAAGTATGCAAAGAATCACTGTTTTAGGCTGATTCATGACTCATCTGTAAAACACACTGTGCTCCACTGGAAGTCTGATCCAAGGTGCATATTGTCTGCACCGTGCTAAACACACCTTCTTGTATGCTGCATGAGTGGGATGCAAACAGTGGATCTTCTGCATACAGCCCTATCACTTGAAGCCTTTGCACGACTGTAAACTTTGAAACTCAGGTTCCAGTGGCAGCATACATCTTACGTAAGAGCTGTGAAGCTTTAGTAGTCCTGTGTCACCGCACTGAAAATGAGAAATAATGATGCTCATGCGTTATTATGGATCTTGGTCAACCTTGTCCAGATTTTTGAATATAGATCCACTGTTCTGAAACTGTTTTCACAAACTGCTGACAACACTGGATGTTGCATTAAGCTCTGTTGCCACCTGCACTTGTAATTGGCATGCCTCTCATCTGTTGACTATTCTTCATCTCATACTGTTATGCATATGTTTGTGGCTACTCTTTTTACCCAATAACTTATAAAATTTACCCAATTCTTTAAGAAACACAGAGAATGCCATGAAAGTGTAGGAGCATGCAAATCACCAAAAACCCTTTCTGCTGTTCTCTTCTTGAATCACAGCTTTGCATAGTGTCTCTGGTTCAGTACTTTTTGTAAGAATGGACATAATTTGTAAATTCTCTTAAAAAACAGCAAGTGTTGTGATAGCTAATGAGAGGTCTAATATCAAGCATGGTTTTATTATGAGGAAGTAAACATGTTTTGAGTTCTTTTTTTAAAAGCAGGAAAATTCAAAATAGAGCTTTTGCTTTAAATAGGGTTTTAGATAGTATGTAGTCTTTTTTTTATATATATATAGAATACATTTATCATTTAAATTTCATTTTTACAAAAGTTAATGAAACAATTTTTTTTTTTCCTTTTGTAGGTGGTATTAAAATGCGATATCCTTCAAGTTACGTGCTTGTCACAGAAATTGATGAAAATGCAGCCATCGGCCAAAATTCTGGTGTCTCTCAGTTTTCATCTTTCAGCAACTCATCTTCCAGCTTTTGTGCTTCCCAGCAAAAGGCTTCCTTACTTGCAGGTGTTCTTACTCCACCTACATCTCCATGTGACCCTTCCTTAGCAGCAAATTGCAATTTTAGAGGCCATCCTTTAGGATTATCAAATGAAACTTTTTCTGATAACAGCACTAGCTCATACATGGGATATTCCACAGCTTGGAAAATAAAGGAAGCTGTCTGGCAAGATAGTGCTTTGCAAGGTCGTAAACAAGTGGTTGAAGGAAGTGAACAAGCTGCATTTTGGGATTTTAGTGATCCATCGTCATTAGTCAGGTGTAATTGCTCAAGGTATGTAATTATGCAAATAAAGCTTCAGTATTTTTATGTCAAATTGCAAAATTTCAAGAATTTCCTGATATTAATGGTGACTTATTTTCATTCTGGTAGTAATATTTTCTGTAATAGTGTTGGGATGTTGATCTACTAAAAACATCCTTTTAAGCAGAAATATTTAGCTTTATGCACATAACTGAGAACTTTCTTCATATTCTTTACATTATTTTTTATATCTCTATGTATATGAAGTAAAATTGTATGTAATAGTATACATTTCAGGACAGCAGTGTTGTGGTAGATTTGAAGGATAACAGATTAGCTTATCCTTTTCATAGTTGAGTGTACCAGAAGGCCTCAGTTTCTGTAATTAATAACATCTTTTAATTTGTATACAATCTATTAATTTTGTTAGGAATCTAACGCTAAGTATAATAGTAGTGAAAGAATATTAAAAGTTGTCATCATATTTGTTTGCATTATATTTGTCTCATTATCATAAAATAATGGATACTAGCTGGAGTTAATTTATGCTGAATAATGTAAAACTAAAAAGAGCTACTACAACTTTTCAATTCTGTATGTATTCAAAAGGAACATCAGCCATAATTTAAGTTAAAAAAACTCTAAAACCTTTTTGATTGTGTTGTGCTATTTAAAGTATTCTTCAGTGTGAAGATTTTGTTTCTGAGAATATGTACTGTGATAAGAATTATGTTATTATATCCTTCCTTTAGTTTTTCAGCTGGAGTTATCGTATATCTCTTCTATTTTCTTCTTCTAAATAACATGAAATTTGCCATCTGACCCCCCCCCCTGCACTTAGATACAGTGGCCTTCTTAGAATGTTGAGTTAGTTCTTTTAGGTGAAATTTATCCGTTGACTGTTCCCATTAATCGGCATATAAACGTGTGTTAATTACATTTCAAAGCTGAAGGTTAATTGTATTTATAGTACTTTATCACTGGCCGTTCCCGTTTACTAACAGACAGCTAGTTAACACAAATGAATGTTTTATGATAATTTGTACATTAGCGTACAAACATATTCAGTGTTACATTCAGTGTTACCCCTTTGGTCACTTTGGAAGTAATTTTTGATCATAAATATTTGTTTCATGTTAAAGCAAAATTTGTAAACTTGTCGTAAGAGTATCTATCTGCTGTAGCAAATATCTTTATAAATGCAGAATTGTCATGGTATTTAAAAGCTAAGGAATCGTTAGTAAAAATGTTGTAATAGTTGAAAGTAAATATGTGGCCACAAAGGTTTAAATTTGTTGAATAGTATATTTGTGACAATATGTTAAATCCCAGTTTTGTTTTGTCTTCTTGCTATTTAACCCATGGTATTCTTCATTTTACCAATGTGCTGCCATTTGGAGATCTGCATACAATTTCGTAGAATATAATTTTTTAATTTGTTTACCGATGGTCAGTATGACTGATGTTGACCAAAGTATGGTATCAGTCAACAGCAATGAAGTGGTCTGAACAGAAAATATGCTATCAGTCACTGATGACTGATGTAGTTTTGAATAGAATGTATGCTGCCAGTTTTTAACATGTTAGGCACTTAATACGTCTGTAAGAAAAATAAGTTAAGTAGAGTGAAAGGTCAGTTTTTTTTTTTTTTTAGTAAACAATACAGTTAATGATATAATAAAATATTATTTTTGTATTAATAATTTTAACCTGGCTCTGTGTATAACACAGCAAAGATCTGAAAATTAGGAAAGAATTTTGTTATGTTTTAATTCTTTGAAATGCTATAATTTATTTTATTTAGGTTGATATTTTTTATTGTTTTTGTAAATTTATCCCTTATTATAGTGCAGCATATCTGTGTTAAATTAAATCATAGTGAATTTAGCATCCAATTTAAAAAGTATAAATTGGAAATTGTATGTTTTTAGGGAAAAGGCTATTTTTTATGTTCCATAAATAAATTTGGCTGTCCTCTGTGTATGGTTTTAAAAGAAAAAAGATGTGTTGTACTCACAATTAAATGATAATTATGGTTATTAATTTTTTTCCTTTAGTAATAAATGTATCAAAAATGTTTATGGTATATATTAATGTACAGAAAGCAACATTTTTTTTCTAAAGGCGGGATTAATTCAGTCTGATAAGACTTAACAAACCATAGCCATTTATACATTTTTTCAAGTTTTCACATAAATAAGAGAGTTTTGTGTAATTATTATAATGTATAGATTCTGTATCTGAATTACAAAAGTCTTAGGTGTGCTTTATTTCTTTCAAAACATCCAAGTGAGATGCCTTTATGAAGTATTTTCTAAGGAAAATTGGCTCACTTTTGTTATGAAATATCACCGTATGATGAAAATCTTACGCTACTACTACATTCATTCATCAGGAGCTGACAAACTTGTGTGTTTAAATGATCTTAACTCACTTGGCCACTAGTGAGCCAGCTGTGTTCTTGAGGCACACTCTGCACAGAAGAAGTGATTTGATATAATTTATTTTGTTCATCATTTGCACACATACCTAGAATAATTTTCATAATCACTTTTTAATAATTTCCACAAAGATTGCCATGAATCCATTTAGTATCATTTTGAAGTGATGGTATTCTGAGGATGAACAAGTTACCCTTATTTACATCAGATTTATAGGAAGGAAGTTGATAAAAATTTTTATCTAGCTTCATATTTTGAACTTGAAGCTGTGTGCAGTAATGCAAAGATTAATTTGCTGTTTGATTTTGTCTGTTTTTTTTTAACTCATCTTTTTGAAAGTATGGTTAATTACTATGTTTTTACATTTAAATATCTTATTTTCCCAGTTTATATAGAACTACATGGAAATGAATTTTCACTTTAGGTGTAAAGCAGCAAATCAGGAAAAAAGCAGCAGTCTGAAAATACCTACTTCTAGTTCAAATACTGTAGTAAGTGTGAATAGTCCGTCAGCATCAGTTGGTAGCCCAAGTTGTGCGACAACAGCTGGTGGAACAACTGCAAGTGCTGTAAAGAAAGTTGAGAAGCCTGATAAGTTAAAAATACAAAATCGATTCAGGGGAACAGTACCTTTTCATAAACGCAATGCTTTTTCAGAGACTTCTGAAATGGACAGTTACACTGCCTCATCTACTTTTCTCATGGCATCAATACCTGGAAATTCACTGCCTAGTAATGGTAACTCAAACTTTCAGTTTAAAGGATTGAATCAGTCATTACGCTCTTCTACGCCCAGCGGCCTTCCACAGTTGCACACATCAGTTGTCCAGCCATCATCATTAGGTTCACCTCATCCAGGTACCCCATTACCTGATGGTACGAACTCTCAGTCAACTGAGCCTGCAATGCCTACTTTGTCTCCCCATCCTCCACCAGAAAAGGAAGAAGAGACATTAGAATCTCAGGATACAAGTATGGGAACACAAAGTCCATCTGAAATTCCTGAGCCTAATAGCAATAGCAGCATTAAGGAGAAGACTTCAGCAGAAATGGTATGTTGAAAAATTCTTTATTGGTTTTTTGGAGAAGGAGGGGGTGAAATTCTTTTAATGTCATGGGGGAGTGCTTTCCATCATATATGCTCTTGTGTCCATTTCTATAGCAGGGTTCGTACGGTCCTTAAGAGTCCTTAAAAGTCCTTAAATTTTTTTAAATCGATTTTTGGTCCTTAAAAGTCCTTACTTTTGGCCAAAGTTAGTAGAAGGTACTTAATTTTAATCATCTGAAATTACTCTCTGTTTTTATAACTGCCATTTTGAGTGTGAATTAGCATTTTGGAGGAATATTTTTTGGCAATTCACTGACGTATAGGGTTATCTTTTGAATGGTTTCATGGGTTATAATTTGTTTCTATTTCTAACATAAATGATGGGATACTTGAGTTTCTAAGCAAGAAGTGAAACATAAGCATTTCGAAATTCATTTTTTCTAATAAAGAGCTCTTAAACAACTTTTCGCTTTTGGGGTTGTGAATTCTTTTATTAAATGGTTCTAAATTTGACTTGTCAACATTTTGGTGATTTTAAGATCAGTTTCTATAGAAAATTTTTAATTCCGAGATCTGAGAATTTTTCGGCGATTTTTTTTTTTAAAACATCATAACATTGATAAATTTCATTAAAATAATGGTAATATATTAGAATTATATTTAAAAAATAGCATTAAAATAAAACATGTTTATTTTTCGCTGTCATATTATAAAGTTTCATTTTGGCAACTTATTATACAATATTTTAAATCTGAAAAATAAACAAGGTATATAGCTATAAAGCATAATTTACGAAACAGCTCTTAGTAAAAGCAAAATTAGCTATGTAATTAATTAAAATGCCTTCTTTTTAATTTTTTCATAGTAAGCGTATTTCCCATGTAATTGTCTCAGATTATTCAAAATTCTCAGAATATGCATCAGTTTTCTCTATAAAATTAATTTTACACTTTTCCCTTCCCCCCTTTTTTTTTCAAAATATTTCTGTCTTTTTGCTGTTACAGAATTGGTTGGGATAATTTTTCTTTAGTATTTTTGACATTGCAGCATGGAAAGTTTAGAAGGATTTGAAGGCAAGATTTATAGACACACGATTCTAGAAGATTCGAGAAATATGTGACAAAATGAAAAATGTCTCCATGGTATCAACATATCAGTACGTAATGGATGCATTTTACAGAAAGTTTGCGATGAATTCCTTACTTTTTGGAGAACGTCTGCAAGAACAATGGAAACATAATACTCGAATGTTTTGCTCCTGATACTAGAATCTTTTTTCTTAACATGTTTATCTTCCCTTTATTTTCTCTACTTTTCACTAGACTAAAGCATGGAAAATATCAAAAATGCTTCTTATCTTATCACTGGGCCAGGCATTATAGAAAGTGATTTTTTTATTAATAAAGAAATTGAAAACTTGCAATTTAAAAGATTCATCTAATGTGTCTAAATGCATCGTACACAGAGCTGGTGCTATGCATTTTCCCACCTGATGCAATCTCTGTGTATGCCAAATTCTGCTTCCAATGCCTGCTCTAAATTGTAAAAGTTTTGCATTTCTAGATTTTGTTGTTCTGTGTGCCACTAAATTCTAAAACTTCTGCCACACCTGCTCTGTAACCAACCTTTACCATATTACTAAAAAATTAAATTAGCCGCTTTTTCTGTACATTCTAAATGCATTTAGTGTTTTTTAGAATAACAGAAATCCTTAATAAAATCCAAAAATTCTAAAAGTAAAAGGAAACACGTTGAAGAAAGAAACCGAATACATAAAGAAAATTATTCTTCAAAGATATATGCAGTTATTATTATGTAAATTACCCAATTGTTTATCATTTCAGCCTTTACTATAATTTCCCATTTCTGTTTCCTCATGTGATAAGTTACTGAGCCAGATTAAATTAAAATTAAATTGTATTATCTTTAACCACTAGTCCACATTTTTAGGTTGAATTTGACTGTTCTTGCTTAATTATGTCACCGTGAGCTGTAATTGACTTTGTTAGCATCAGAACATCCCTTTATGTTCTAAGTTCTCTGTCTGATATTGTAGTTACTTTCATATATAGTGATAATTTGCTTCACGTCTATCGGAGGCGGACTACAGTCAAAAGTCGTTAATCCGGACTCGTCTAGACTTCGGCGATTCCGAATTATCGATTTTTCCAGATTATAGATCATCAGTTTAAATCTGGTAAGAAGGCATGCAGAAATTATAAAATTAAAAATATGAAACCGTAATTTATGAAATAAAGAACAATTATGATCTAAAGGGTATCAAAAAAAAAAAAAAAAGCTTAATATTTATTTGTTTACTTTGTTAAACATTTCTTTCAATGTAAGTTGTTTAAGTTGCTTCATTTTTTATGTGATAATACATTCTCTTTAATTCTGTAAACAGACACAATTTCTTGTTTAGTTACAAAGTTCCGCTGTTCAAGTCTTATAATTGCTGTTTCGAGAATACCGACTAATTTGTCAATCGGAATTTTTTTGTTTTCAATAACCTCTGTTACTTTCTTTGCTATCGGAAGCGAATTATAATGACAAGGAATTTGATTTAAATCATATCAAAGACGGAGTACATCGAGATGAAATACTACATTTAGTAAGGAATTATAAGCCAAATAAAATAAAACATCTGCCCTGAAGATAAGGATAGTGCTGACAGATCAACTTCCAATTCATTGCGCGCACCGCAGCGTTAAAGATAAACAAAGTTTAGATAAACAAACGTTAAAGTTTAGATAAACAAAGGATATGCCTTTATCCATTTTTTGCAGCAATTCCACTTTTTGTTTAATGGACTTTGAAACATACTTTCGCTTTGTAGATTCTTTACATAATAGTAAATATATATCAGAAATTCTATTTGACATAATCGAAAGTTCAAGCTTACTTTTATAAAATTGCTCTAACAGTCTGCAAAAAATAATAAGCCGAATCCAATTCAAAGATTAAGGAACAACGCAGTCTGCAACATTCACTGAATTAGATAATTTTAGCTTAGCTGATACCGTCCGTTATACATTAAACGTGCATTCGTAAACGTATTTTGCGCACACGCATATTTGCAGCCGTAAAGGTCTTGCGCGCATGCGTCAAATAGACGCATGCGCAGAAAGTTTGTAGCTTTGAGGTCCGGATTATAGATCATTTTGGATTATGGGTGTCCGAATTAACGACTTTTGACTGTATTTAACTTTTACCAGATCAAGTAAACCCTCATAGGTACATTGTGGAGAGGTTGACAAGATAGGAGATAAAGCACACAGAAACTAGCGAGAGCATTGGTTTGCATATTGAGACAAATTTCTAGTTATTGTCAGAAAAGATCGATAATTAAAGAGAAGAAAATCGATATAAACTAGCCAAAATGTTTGGGAAGGCTTGTAGAGACATTAGGTATTTTTGAAAGCAGGAAAGATAAAAAATTAACAAAGCCTTCGCCGGGAATCGAACCGCAGACCTCTGGAATACCGCTACCAGTGTGCAAATCACTACACCACGAAGGGTCGCCAAGAAGGTCTCCCTTTTAAACGGCGACTGGGGTTTTTAGAGAATCCAATTGCCAAATCCTTTGTGTGGAGAACTCATCAAGTAACCATCACCCATCAAATAACCATCAACACCATCAAGTAAAACTTATTCTTTGCATCTACTGAGACTTCTATATAAAACAACTTATCACCTCTGGCACTTGAATGGCTTATTGGAACATTAAAGTATATTAACTGGGTTACAACCCCTGGAACTACACAAAGCTATGACATTAACTGCATTAAGCAGAGCTTGACTAACTTCAGCACTTGCCAACTGTGCCTACATCAGGCCTTTCAGGTTTGTTCCAATCAGCAAGTCTCTCTATAGACAAGCAGCAGAGGGACAATATTCAGTCTTTTGTTATGAGTCATGCTGATTATGATCTCACTTCTCATTTTAACCTATGCCGTTTGACATAAAATCTCCCTACTATTTGCTAAACCTCTAGCTGTAATTGACTTTGCCACTAGCTGTAATTGACTTTGACTGACCAAGTATGTGACAAAATTAGACATTTAAAAAAAAAGCATAAAGCTAGCTATTAGTAAAACGTAAATGTCACTTATCTTCTTTTAAATATGTCCAACTATTATAAGTGTAAAATATTTAATGCTATTTGATAAACTGCATGAAATTAATTTTATTCTCAAACTTATTAATAACTATGTTAATTCATGTTTAGTAATAATGCGTACTAATTTGGGATCTATTTTATTTTTAGGATGGTATTATAAAAGTGAAATTCAGGCATAGAATAATATTTTTAATTGAATTTATTCAGTTTCCATTTGCTCATAGGTCCTTAATTTTTTTCATTAATAGTCCTTAACCCCTTCGAGCCGGGTAGGGAAAACGCGCGCTTATCGCGGAGGCCGGCAGTGTCTTCCGCGAGCGTCTCTCCAGGGCCGGGGGCTTTTTTGCTACTAAGCCTAAATCGATGAAATTTCTGAAGTATCAATGCATTGTTTAATAATGCTCTATAGAGTATTTAAACGGCTTATGCTTTATAAATATTTTATATATATATACTTTAATTACCTTATTTCTTGTTTAAATGCATATTTTACACATTTTATTTTAATTACTCAGCATTTTATGACTTTTAACATTATACATCTGAAAACTAAATATATTACTTAAAATTCTCTTTTCGTATGAAAAATTTGAAAACAGGGATCTACACACAGTCCTACGTTACATTCCTCGAATTCATAATAACTCATTTGCCGTTTTGGAGGATTTTTTCGGGAATGTGAACAAATGAAGCATCGTCGTCTCAGTTTCTTATCAGTCTGTTCTGAATAAAGTTTTGGAAAATGTAAACGTTCCAAGAAGCTGGCACAAATACGTGACAATAGGTAGTAAACGGGAAAATGCTCTATCACGCCTGCGTGTCGGCCGGTAGGTGAGTGTGTTCGTTGCTGGCACGTAGACGTGACAGTTGGCGCGAAGGGGTTAAAAGTCCTTAATTTTTGTGTGCAGAAATGTGTACGAACCCTGTGTAAATTTTCTAGGGGTAGAATATTTGAATTGATACAGTTATTTTTACCTGATATGCTGTAATTTGAAATAAATGTGCTGGTAGTTGTATTTAAAATACATTGCATGAAATCAGCCATGTTACTATTCATGAAAATAACACAGCAGGAAAGAGACTTTATTTATAAATTGTTATATAGAAGATCCTTTCTGCGACTTGGTATAATGTGAATTTAGTTTCAGAAGTTTTGACTTGTAGCTCTCTGTGCACTGCTGCTGTATGTTCTTTTTTTATCCCCCCCCCAAAGTTTCAAAATGTGATTTTGACTGTGGAGAGTGCATGCTTCTCAAGTTAGGAGTCATTGTTGTAAAAGATTTCAACTAAGCAATTCCTTATGTAAATGCTGTCATGGCATAGCCTGCAGTCTAGACTGGATTTGCCATCTTTAGACCATCTTTATACAAGGGAGTGAGCGAAGCCCTGTGTCCATGTTCTTAATTGAATTTCAGTCTCTTCCCACACTATGACACCTATGATGGGGAAAGTTTGCACCTTCAGGCAGAGGTAAGGAGAAATTTCTTACCCCTATATGAAGGCGGCACAGAGTTCTCCACCCGTGCAAAAATTTATGATTGATCTTCAGGCATTGTGAAACTAAAGCAGGGGAGTTTCTTCACATCTCCAATTTGTTGAGAAAAAAGGGATTTCACATTGTACATAATTTAAATATCAGTATTATATAGGGAATTGATAGTAAAAAGGAATTGCGCTGGAAAGCCATTTTGTGTGTGACATTAGATGAGAAGTTTGCAGTAGAAAATTAAGCATTTAATTTCATGAAATAAGTGTATTGTAAAAGCGGAAAAGAATATTCAAAGGCAAATTTTTATTTTGTGTCAAATAATTTATTTTTAAAGAGTATGTATGTAGTGATAGATATGCTTGGTAGCTGTCTTAGAATCTTGCTATTTGTTAACTGTAATGCCTTTTTTAAAAAACAATCATCTCTCATGTAATTTATTGTATTGTATGTATTTATTGCGAAGTTGTCTTTTAATCACTTGAAAACTATAGTATATAATGTGTATTAATTATAAAGAATGCAATAAACTCTCAATCTGAAACAAAATTCAGATTTCTCAGATGTGTTGAAACATTTGGAACCATATATTGGAAAAGTAATAATTTTTCATCATTAAACATCTTATAACTTTTGGCATATATCTTTAGTATTTTTTTAGCTGTACATTTATTAATTGTAGAATAGATTTTTTTTTGTGGTGTGTGCTGTAGAATAGCTATAGTCATTGAGCTATAAAACAATAATGCAGACATAAAAGCAACATTATTATATTGTTGAAATACAAACAGTATCTGAATAAAAATTTTGGCAAACTATCAGGAACTCTACCTTGTAAGCACTTGTATACAGATTTAAATCAGGCCACACATACTTGTGTGCAGATGGAAATCAGGTCACACATACTTCTATGCAGATGGAAATCAAGTCACACATTTTTGCAGAAGTGCATAGCTTTTTTAAAAGAATGTTATGTAAATGATTAAGGTTTTTTTTTAAAATTTAAGTAGATATTCACTTGTATTATTCTTCTGTAAAATGAGATTTCTTTCTTTCATTTTTTTTTTGTTATTATTATCAGAATGTTTATGAATATGGAATGAATGAATATTCTCAGAAAAGTCTTTTAAGTTTGCCATTTGGAAATATCAAATTATTAGGGTACGTATGCGAAATTATGAAGTATTTTTTTAACCACAGCCATGAAATCTTCATCCTAGAACTTCCAAAATGCAGTCAGTTTTCCCTGTCATGACAAAAAATAAATAAATAAATAAATAAATAAATAAAATAAAATAAAATAATTATTAAAAAAAATAATTAAAAACACTTCTATTTTGTAAAAGTTTTCTTTAATTATAATGAAAAAAAAATTGGTGAATAGTATCAAACTACTGAAAGCTTTTTGGAAACAAATTGATGAATACTATTAATGTAGATTCCTTCAGTAGTAATGTTATGATCATGGATGCAAAGTCTTTTGCTGTTCTTATGCTAAAATATATTACAAAATATTATTTTCATACATTTAGTTAAACCAATGATATTGTGAAATTTGATGATTTGTTGAGTTACATAATGTGCCTCAAACTAAGGTGTAAAGGCTATTGAATTCAATTTTTGATCTTGTAGGTTAATAGTTAAATATTCTTTGTTGGTAAAAAGCATATGCTTTGAAGTCATCCCAGTTTATGGCAGCTTAATATGTTTCATGTAAATAATGTGTGTGATAAACTGTTTTATGTATTGACATATATAATGATAATAATTTTATTTTATCCAGGTTTCATCTCCTCATCAAAACACAATATCTAATCTTGTCGAAAATATAAAGTCTGAAGAATCTCCTGGTCCTCCACCCACTGCCACAAATAATAGTACCAACAATAGCAGCAATAATAACAGTAATAATAGTAGTTGGGTGCCAGGAACCCAAGAAGACATAAAACCTCCTGTCGCTCTTAGTTCCGTTCCTTCAACTCCTGCTCCCCCATCTATATCTGTGCAAGGGCTGAAAAGACCTTCTCTTGTGGTATGCTCACATGAAGATCCACATGATGAACTAGTTATGGATGGTCTGTTATATGACTACACATTTCTAAATTCATCTGTATGGTAAGTATATAAAATGTTTCAGAATCTCTATCTGACAAACATTTTGTAACAATTATGCTTTCCAATGAGTACATTTTTCTTTTTAAAGAAACTTCATTATTGAAAAGTAATTTTCTTTGCCTGTGTAAATTGAAATTCAGGACTATTTGAACAATTCTTTAAAAATATAATTCTTTTCAGAATAACAGTATTTAATATTATTGATATTTATATCCAAAAAGCTGCCACTTTTTTATAAAAAGTTAAGGGTATTAACTCTTCCTTTTTATTTTATTAATAAGGAATTTTAATAGGAACAATTTTTCGAATCCTGACAGTTTTTTGAAGAATGCTGCAGGCAAAGATTTTTATTGTTATAACTGTTTTGTTAATGTTAATTTCCAGCACAGAAGGAAATAGTAAGTTAACTTATATTCTAAGATTTTAAATGTTTAAAAATTCAGAAAATTCATCGTATTTTTTGTATTCTTTAATTATTTTTATGATTGCATAGGTATGAAACATAAATTTGTATTTAAAAAAAATTGTTATTATTTTCAGGGAAAGTATGTCTGCCAAACGTCGTAGATTGTGGCCTTATACTAGAACTCGTGCAGATAATTTAGATGGATATGGTTATCCGTATGGAAAAGACAATCTGAATCAGATGCAGATAGACGAAAATTTACCTTTGAAGCCAAAGGATCCATACGAGTTCAATGACGAGTTTGATGAGGAAAGCCCATCATCCAGTTTTCGAGCTAGAGTAGATGTATGTGTTAAGGTTTGTAGTATCGGTTAAGTGTTTACTGCAGGTGTATTTTAATTCTGTTTATTATTTTGAAATGTCTTCTTAAATTTTTTGTATGCATGTTTTTTATGTACAGGCACACTTCAGCAAATTGTAGGTCATTTCAATCCACCACAATAAATGTGCAGAGAGTCGAATTTTTTTTTCTCTTTAAATTTCCTGTAGAATATAAATATTTTTACTACATATATTCTTTGAACAGAAGACTTATTTTGCTTTCTTTTCACTTATGATGTTCTTGAGTGGCACTTCTAATTTCTTTTGAGGAATTAGCATTCATAGTTTTACTAATTTTTTTATATAAGAGACTAGTTTTGGGCATATTTTGAGAACAACACAGATGTCTTGAAAATTGCAGTTTGAAATTTGCAGTTCTTAATCTCACCTGAGCATTTAGGGACTAATTTTCTAATTTCAGTACATGTTACGGAAAATTTGTAATGTATAAGAACAATTTAATGTTGTTAATATTACATGTCTAAAATTTATAATATTACTGTAGTATTTCTTGAAGAATTTCTAGGGAGGGATAATTTTAGAATTAATTCTGGGGAGGGGATGGAGTGAAAATCTTTTAAAGGCCTAAATGCAGTATAATTAACATTTAAATCCATTTATAACTATTATTTAATGGTATTTTTATACAGCAATAGTGAAAAGTTTGAAATCCTATGAGAAATTAGTAGAATGGGTGATTGAGATGCAGAGGGAATGAATACCATTTAGTAGAATGTTGCTGATCAACTGACCTAATGCTGTTTTATGACAGACTTTATTTGAAATAAATATATAACAGAATGTATAATCTGTGTACTGCAATAAAATGAGGTTTGCCTGTATGCACCTGCAGCTTAAAACTTAACATGTATTCCTCCTCTCATATCAGTAATTTCTGTAATTGCCTGAGTTATATGTGAATTAAATGGATAAGCAGAAATTTGATGTACATGTTTTGACAATAAATTTTCAGGAATATTGCTGTTATTCTGTTAGAGACAAAAAATAGAGTGTATGTGCCAATTTGTATATATTTCCTTTATATAAATATTTGAAAAAGTGCAGACCTGCCTAGTTCTGAAAATTGAAATTCTTGTTGTCAATGTCCCCATGTGCAATAGATGGTGAAAATTAAATTTTGATTTATGTAAGGAAAGATGGTTATTAATGTGAGATATTAAGGTGCGAGACGCACGCACACAAACAAACAAACAAACAAAAAAACCCGAGACTAAGTGTGTAGCTTGAAAAAAGAGTGAAATGGGCAATTTCTGGTTTGGTGGAATCATCCCACACATCTCCCCTCTCCATGCGGCCAATTTCAACTTAAATGATCACACCAGTTGGGAGTACTGCATTATTGAGTGAACATGTGCAACTGCATTCTGCCAGCAAAAAATGTCTAATGTAAAAACTGAACAGCGATTTAATATCAAGTTTCTTGTGAAACTTTAGAAATCAGCCACAGAAACATTTCAAATGTTAACTGAGGCTTATGGAGATGAAACTTTGTCTCGTGCATGTGTGTTTGAAGGCATAAGCGGTTTTCAGGGAGAAGGACAAAACACGCATGTCAAAATCAAAGTTCAAGGCAATGTTGATTGTCTTCTTAAACATTAATGGAATTGTAATGATTGAGTTGGTCCCCTGTGGTCAGACTATTAATCAACACTACTAGGCTGAAGTACTAAAAAGACTTCATGAAAAAATGACCACAGTTGTATAGTGATGGATGGCTGTTGCACCAGGACAAAACACCCACTCACATGGCCCTATCTGTCAAGCAGTTTTTGACCAGCAAAAATATAACTGTGATGGGCCATCCTCCTCATTCACCTGATTTGGCTCCATGAGACTTTTTTTATTTCTTCTACAAACCTCGTTCCAGAACTATTACCAGTAATGGCAGCACCGAATGCTGAAGGGGACTACTTTGAAGGTGATAATGTCACGGAGAACTGATTTTGTAAGTACAGTGATTTATTGGACTTGTCTCTCTCTCTTTTTTTGTCACATCTTGTATATTGTCACGTGTTTGAAGAGTATGTTTCAGTTTAAAGAGGAAGGGAATATGTTAGGATGACTCAGGGAGCAAATGGTGGTTAATCAACCATTACAATGAAATTATTCGGATGTTTAATTGCGTTTTCTGTGTGGAAGTTCTCAGTCACATGATTAAGAGGCTTGTGTGTGGAGTAATAGATGTGATAATGTGGCATTATTCTAAATCAAGTGCGATGGTTATGTCTGGTACACTTATGACTGACTGCGGCAAAGTTTGAAATTAAGAAGAGCATTCCCACTCTGCACTGAGCTGACCAGACTTGACTATTGTCCACATTTTTTATTCCCTAATCTGAAACTTGCATTGAAAGATGACATTTCATCTCTGTTTGGGCTATTAAAGAGGGGACGGTGGAAATGAGAAGCAAAACTGTCAAACTTAATGTTATTCTTCTCAAATATCTGCAGAATGTCTGTGAGCATTTTGAAGTGGTTAGATTTGTGCCTCAAAAAGATTATTATTTTCAATAATAATGAGATGGTAACTTTCCTTGTATCAGTCACAATCCTGTAATCTTATTTCTAACCTTGAAAACTCAATGGCATTTTCTGTGAAGTGCAATTTTTTAAAATTATGTTTTTTAATGATACCTAAAGAAAGCATGTTTATAGAAATGATTGCCTGTAATTGCACATATAAAAGGGATTATAATTCTGATATAAAAGTAGTTTTGAGCAAATTGAGAACTGCTTTTCCATTTAGTTAAGTTTCACTCTATTTGTAAGTGTATCTTTTTCTTTTTTCTTTTTTTTTTAAAGAGTGTAGCCACATATTTAGTTCAATATATTATTGAAATTTCCTATTTAGGAAGAAGATATCAAAAAAGAACCAGGACTCCCACCTACTCCAGAATCACAGAGTCTCACTCCAGGACAGACAGCATCTGCACCTCTTACCACTCAGGATACTCCAAAGCCACCTCCTAATGGTGAACAGCCAATTTCCTCTCCTCTCACTCCTCACCACCACAGCACTGATCTTAAGAGTGAAAGAGATCTCCAAGTCACAGATCATGATTTAGAAAACATTTTTGAATCATCTTCAGATGAGAGTATACCTGATGAACAGGTACAGAAAATGTCATGTAAAAATAATTTTATGTGCTCTTGAATAGTATTTAGACTCGAATGCTGAAAACCACAAGTCTGTTTTTGAAATTTTTAAGTTATTTTACTTAGTCAATTACTAAAGGGAAATTTAAAAATCTTTTAATTAGGAGAAACTTTAAAACTTATAAAATGTGAATTTAGAAATGAAAGAAGATTTGTTTGTTGTAATTAGTTTAATGGCTATGGAGGTAAATTCTGGTCAGTTTTTAATTAATGTATTTCCCACAACGTGGTTTTTATTTAGTTTCAGACTGCTTCAACCCCAACTGGAAAATTATGTGGGACACCTGAAGATCCATTTTCTGGAAAATGCAAAAGCAGTTCTTGCACAACTGGAATCCTAGGTACATTTTTTTTTAATTTGCATTTTTTTAAGAATTAATTATATCACATTGAGTATTTCATTTAAGAATTAAATATTGGTTAGGAATATGAAATATCTAAAGATTGTACATTTGTATGAAAATAAACATCTGAATGTACGTTCATAAATTTGAAAAAATTAAAATAGTCATTTTATGGCCTGTCACAAAGAAGGGGTAGTTATTGAAAATTCAGAATTATTTTATTTAAATCTTTGGTAAATTTTCCGTTTATCAGAAAAAACATTTTTTTTTTTCCCTGGAGGAATTATTTTTATTATGTTAATAAACAGAAGTACTTAAGAGAGAATATTAAATTCAAGTATTCTTTAATGTTTGTACAGATGGCCTTAGACCATTTTCAAATTTATATTTTCATAGCTTAAGTGGTAGAAGATTTGTCATACATTTAGAGGACATGTAAAGTTTCTTTCTGCTCTTGAGAGGTTGTTGTTAGGAGAAGAGGGATGGAAGATCCTTGGGCTGCCCCCCCCAAGGTGTTCTCCATCAGAATTGGGATGAAACTCCACAGCTAGTGCAGTTGGACCATACCTGTATGACCAATTGGGAAATTCTGTTGTCCCATCTACTTCTACCTGTAACTGTCAAGAATATTGTCTGTCCAATTGGTATAGTGTAGTGATGGTGTCTGCCATACTAGTGAGCTTATGTTTGAATTCTGGTGAAGGAATTTGTTTGATGTTTGAATCCTGGAGAAGTGATGGATATTTGTAAACATATATTGTCTGTGTGGCAAGGTGGCATTCAAAAAATACCATTTTTGTTATGGTATATTTTGGGGAACTGTACTGTCTTGGAGTCAACTTGGGCAATTGAAAGTTAAACATGTATACGAAAGAAAATTTTCCATTTTTAGGAGAGGAATTTAGTTTAAAATATTATTATAATTACTGGAGATTGAGTAGATGATGAGCAGATACAGTGTCTTTCTTAGACCCTTGCATACTTTGCTTTTAGTTAAATAACCAATCTTTCCTTTTCTTCTTTACTATGAAAGGCTTTGTTTACAATGACAGGTTTAGTTAAAAAGGTTAGTGAAGTGAAAGAAATATCGTACAAGAATAATTGAACTGCCTCAGTAGTATCAACAGTACTAAATTTATTTAGATGATGCATTTAATAATGTGATTTGGTTTAATATTGAGTCTGGTTTTGTTTCATTTAATTTCAGGATTAAGTGCTTATTGTTGTTTCTGAGAAATACCCTTGGTTTTAATGCAAATTTGAAAATTTTTAAGCTTTATTAACTTTTTTTGCTTCTCTTTATTCATTACTCATTGGCAAAATCAGTTAATAAAGATATAGTCATAATCATAATTTTCTTGCATATCATTAATGGAGCTGTTGTAATACAAAGTTAATATATTAATGATTTGTTGGTATTTAATTTTTTTTTTCAGAATCTTTCCACATATTTTAAATAAGGTGCTTTTTATAGGTGTTGCTGAACTTACTCGTATGTTTCCTACTCCACCATCATTAGAGCACAATACAGCCCCATCTCCTTCAGGGCCTCTGTGTGGCACTGATTTATCAACTTTGGATAGCTCTGATTGTTGCCGCGAGCGTATAGAAGGTTACATAGATGGTGGAAGTAGTCCATATTATGAACCTGTCAGAGTAAGTTATAAACATGTTATATTTTTATTGTCCCCCCCACAGCTTAAGAGTAAGTGGAATCCTCTCCCCTTTTAAAACTTTAATTAAAAATATATAATTCATATTTGAAAATTATCCACAAAAAGATTTGATTAGTGTTTCATAATGTATAGAAATGATGATAATTGCTTTCGTTTGATTTGATGTCCAATTTTTTCAAAAGCTTCCGATGCTTAATCTTTCTCGGTAGAATAAAAATTGCTTATTGAAAACTTTCTGCAGAATATTGGTAATTTAGTACTTCAGTTTAAATTTGACTTTTTCAGATAAGGTTTGATTCTAGATTATAATTCAAAATTGCTTAGGTAGTTAGGGCTGCTTAAATGTCTGCTACAATATAGCTCTGAAGAGGATGTAAAAAAATTCTGAGAGAATGACTTTCTACAGTAAAAGCATGTACTTATTTGTGGTCTTAAGCTTCATTCTAGTGCTTAAAACATTTATTCATATTTCATTCCTTTCAAGGATTTGCTACTTAACTAGTTCCATTATCTCATCATGTTGTTCGAAAATGATAATTTTTTGAATATTTGCTTTTTATGTGATTTAAATATTGAAGGGGGAGGAAAAAAAAAAAAAAAAAAAAAAAAAAAGCAACCACCAGACCTGAATGTCTTTGATTTTCTACTCTATGAACTGAGCTCAAAGTTCATTTTATAATCATTGATGAAAATCTATATTTTTATTTGCTTAATCATATCGGTTTTCAAAATTATGTCCCTTAGTGCATTTGACACCCCCCTTCTGCGCATTGATTTTTGTGCTTAAAGGAAAAAAATATATATATCTGTAATTATAGATGATGTGTAGTTTTAGAAGAATTTATCATAATTGCAGGTTTAGGAAAATTTTTACAAATTACAAAAGCTTTTGATAAATGAGATGGCCTTTTCATGGGCATTCCTGCATATATACTGGTGTGCAAAAATTAAGGACGAAGTCGAAAAATTAGCATATCAGCTGAACGAAGAGGCAGAGTGTACAGAAAGACCAATCAGGAGATTAAGTAAGGTGATGTACGGTCACATGCACAGATATGCAGGTAGACGTAATGGGGGAGTGTCTGAGTAGTATAAAGCATGTTGTCGGTGTAACATCAGTATTTCTGGCAAAGAGATTGCACACCATATAGCAGTTAAAATCACACCGAGTTGCTGCCTCAGCTAGAAATGGCGAATAATTAATCTGTTAGACGACATCTGGATGCTTTTACCCGAGGTCGAATCATTGGGAAGTTGGAGGAAGGCCGCAGTGTCACAAGTGTGGCTGCAGAGTTCGGAATTGCTCACAGCATCGTTTCACGACTTTGGAGACAATTTCAAACTACAGGAACAGCTATCCGGGGGATTAGTAGTCGTTGTCCACGAGGAACCACACCCGAAGATGACCGGTATATTGCCTTACAGGCCAGAAGAAACAGGCGGCAGACAGCGGGAGAAATCGCTAGACACAGGACACAGGCAACTGGACGACCGATAATCACGTTTTACCGTGGCCAGAAGACTGCACGGTGGTGGTCTGTTTGCACGACACCCTGTACGGTGTGTACCTCTAACGCCTGCCCATTGGAGAAGGCGTTCTCTGTGGTATCGGGAACACCGGAATTGGAGAGACAATGAATGGGGACGAGTACTCTTTACAGATGAGAGCAGATTCAGTCTGAGTAGCGATTCTCATCGCATACTCATCTGGAGAGAGCGGGGAAGCTGCAATCATCCCTCGAACATCATTGAAAGGGACAGGTATAGAGGTGGCGTTGTTCTCGTTTGGGGAGGTATAATGCTTGGTAGTCGTACAGACCTTCACATCTTCGACGCAGGTTCAGTCAACGGGACCCGTTATTGTAACGAGATTCTTCTTCCATATGTGCGTCTTTTTAGAGGCGCTATGAGTCCGCAGTTCCTTTTCATGGACGACAATGCACCATGTCATCGCACAGTAGCTCTTAGAGAGTGAGGATTGGCCGCCACGATCTCCGGATCTCAATCCCATCGAGCATGTAGGGGATTTTCTAGGCAGACGCTTGGCAGCTCGTACCTTACCACCAGTAACAATTCCGGAGCTTCAGTTGGCGCTGCAAGACGAATGGGCAGCAATGCCTCAACAACTCGTTGACACCCTCATTCTCAGCATAGGCGTACGCTCTGAAACCTGCCTAGCAGTCAGGGGAGATCATATCCCCTATTAAAGACCGGATGTTCTTGCTGGACACCCATCACAGGAATGTTTTGGCCTTCAGTCGCATTGCGCTCCATGCTACTTTTTCAATAAAGCTTCTTTTTATCCCTCTGATTTCTCTTTTAGTAAGTGTTGCTTACATTACTCATGTCCTTACGTATTGGGGATCTTACGGTATTAAATGTGTTGATTTGGAAAGCTTTTGTACAAAGTTATATTGAAAAAACCGTCTCGTCCTTAATTTTTGCACACCAGTGTATTTCATTTAGTAATAATTTTCAAAAAGAATAGGCAGTTGCCATTTTCCAGTCTTTGGCACTTTTTGCCAATCCTTGGTTTTAAACTTCACATTTATATATTATTTGTCTTCTTTCTTTATTTAAAATGTTTTCATAATTTGATAAAAATCTTGTTAAGAGTATGAAATGGAAACGTGTGACTTTAAAAACTCACAAAAAAGTAGACATTATTAACCAATTTGTACCAGTTATTAAAATAATTTCTGAAATAATTAAAATAATTTCTTTCTCAGTAACAATAAGATTACCCTATCATGTCTTCCACCATTGCGGGTTCTCTAAAGCAGATGGGCAGTTTCATTTCTAAAGACTTACTGGCAGTATAATGACTGCCAATACGTACTGGCAGTAATGACAGTTTCAAAGCAAAAACTGATTAAGGGCAATTACATTGTAAATAAATTTATTAATGAAGCATTAAGTATGTTTGCAGAATTACTGTATGCAATATATTTTATTCCTCAGTACATTCAATAATGCAAAAATCTTTTTGCAGCATTGTACAGTTTTAGTCCAGTATTCCAGCATATTTGAAAATCTGGTAAAGTTCCTGATATGTAGATTATTGGATCTTTACTGTACTTCCTGTAGCTATTTACTATTTTTTTCCTTCATAATAAGTAATGATTTTATATGAAATTAATTTTGTTGATTTTAGTAATTGAAATATGCACTTTTTTCTATATTGTGAATGTAATATAAATTTGGTGTTTTATAGAATGACTTTTTTTTTTTCTTTTTTCTTTTTTTTGAAAGGATTGGTCTTTTGTCTACAAGTTACCTGTGCAGTACAAGTTTATTAACTCCAAGAGGTATGCTTCCTTGACTACTCTGCCGAGTCAACTTCAACCAGTCACTTTATCTGCAGATCATATTTATAAACCTTTATGGACTCAAGCAGTTTCATCATCCCCTCTTCCTGCCAACACATCATTACCTAACTCTCAAGTAATTGGACATGCTGAGAGGCTACCTGCAAATACAAAGTAAGAGTTAGACATTTTCTGTGATTTTATACACCATGTTAATAGGATATACTTCCATTTGGAAATTGATTCACATTTAACAAAACTTAGTGTTTTAAATTTAAAAAAATTTCCAAATGTTTTTGATATTTTAATATCCATTGTCCACCATTAATTATGATTTTTGTAATTCTTACAAAATTCAAGCATCTGCGGTTTTCATAGGAAGGATGTAAATTTAATATTTTAACTTGATAAATAGTGGATTTATAGTCTGATAAAATTTTTGGAATTTTGGATTTGTAGTCTGATAAAATTTTTTGGAATTTTTTTATGAGTAGTTTTATTAAACGAATTCATAAACTGGTGGTTGTAATTTTATTAATGCGAATTACTTTTCCAGTTCTCAGTTTTCAATGATGCCAGTAAATGATGGTGAAAGAATGGTGCCGCCCATGTTTGCTGTGGAAAATCCCATTGATCAACGAACATTGCCCATGAACTATGAACTGCAGAGCCCAGCATCCAGTGCCTCATCCTACTTGAACAAACATTTGAACTCTGTTGACAGTAGTGGCACAACTTCCTCAATACCTGAGGCACATAGCCTGCTTGTAAATCTCGTGATAGCTGACTCTATGCTCAATCTGTTTAAAGATCACAACTTTGCAAGCTGTACCCTTTGTGTTTGCAACATGAACACCAAAGGTGCAGATGCAGGCATTAATTTGCCGAGCAGTCTCATACCTTCAGGAACAGATGAACCACAGTATAAATGTACTTGTGGTTTTAGTGCGGTTGTGAATCGGCATCAGAGCCATCGTGCAGGTATTTTTTATGAAGATGAACTTGACATTACGGGTCATCGTTATGAAACATTCTTCTGCCGTAAAAGCCTCTCTCTTGTAGAGAGTGTATCCTCCAAAAAGGCGGACATTGGCCAGAATATAGAGGATGAAACAAACGCTCAAGTGGACCATGTGCCACACAGTGTTGTGGACTTAATAAAAGTGCAGTGCTCACACATATACTCTACGTTTTCCATATTTCACAAAGCAGAACAGTTTCGCAGTTTTGATAGATTTAATTCACAATATAATGCTCTTGAAATATCGGATGGGTGTGAAATATGTTTTCTTGCACTGGACACTGGTCGACAAGCTGTTGACAATATGAACAACAATAAAATGGATGAGAATTTGAAGTCTTCCTGCCTTCATAAGTGGCCTTATCTCGCAGGTAATTCCTTCTTTTTAAGTGAACGAATGGAGATAAATGTTATTCATTTCCTTATATCTTGAAGTCAGGAAAGTGGAATTGTGTATAACTTTACGAATGTTCTGAAAAACCATATTTATTTGTTTTTTACATTTTTGATATTTTTAAAGCTTTTATGTACCATGTTAATTGCATAAGTTATTAGTTAATTTTGATTTCATATTAATGTTGAAATACTTACAAACAATAAAGTTTTATCAGTCTGGAAATAAAAGAAGCAACATGCTGCTTTTTTTGCTGAGCCTGATTGAAAGGTAGATTTTCTTATCTAATGTTTTAATCAGAGACTCAAAATATTGCCCTGGAATTCTGATACTGAACTTTATGTTTGAAATGAATATTGTTTTGTCACACAGATTTAAGCACATTCTAGGTAAGATAATTTCGTTATTGTTATCATTTCATTTTTTTTTCATTTTCTTGAATTAGATTCTCTATTATGTAAATATATTCGTTCAATTCATATTACTTATCTTGAATTTTAAATTCAATTTGGATATTCTCTGTCCCAAAATATAAGCCATTTCTTTGCCACTCTTTGATTTTTCTCTTCTCATATATTTCACAGGACTGTGTATGAAATTTCATATACTGTAGGTCTATGTAATTACTAAATTAAACTGGAAAAAGTGTTGCTATGTAATCTGTAGTGTGTGTGATGTACATTAATATTTTAAATCAACAACAAAGTATGTTCAAAACCAAGACCCAAATATGTGCTGTAAGCTGTAATTATTTTAGTAGCAATATTTATTCAGTTTTATCAGTTCAACACAAAGTAGATTCAAAAACATATCACTATTAGAATAATGAATTGGAACCACAAATAAAAAGTAAAAATAACAAGTAAATGAGACCTGTTCCAGATTCTCCATACTCCAGTGTTGTATAAAAGCAAAATTCATACAGGCATTATTGCAATAGAAAAGTGAACAAACAAAGCCAAAATTATTTTATTTTTTCATTGGGGTTGGCGCTGCAAGAAAAAAAAATTTTTAAAGAAAAAAAAAACTGCTTCTGAGCTGATACTTTCACAGAAATGCACAATTATAAATTTAAACTATATAAATTAATTTAAATCATTACATGCATCTGTCAGTCCGATTGGAGCACACATTAATTAAAACTATTTTGTGTTTTTTAAATTTATAATTTATTATTTCAATTTAAGAGTAATTTTGTGTCTTTTTGCATTTGTCAGGTCAGAAACAGGCTTTTACTTCTGTTGTTGCATCAATGCCCTGAAGAAGTTATATTTTGGATATATAAAGTCCTTTTGCCTGTATTTATAACTGTTTTTGCACTTTTCAATTGGTACTTTGCACTTTGGTACAGATTTTGTTTTTACACAGCATTGATTTATTTTGGGTTTTTGGAAAAAGTCTCATTGACTAGTTACTTGTACAATAATATTTTAGAATTAGCCCAAAAAAATTGTACCAATGACGAATATGAATTTAAATTTACTTTTCCTTATGTAATATACATGTGTGTGTGTGTGCGAGGTAAAAAATATGAAAGCAGACTTCTAATTTTAATTGGCTGTAACCTCTTTTATTTTTTATTTAATTTGGGGACTTCCTCTCTCTTATCTTAAAAATAATGCTATAAATTTAAACTGTATCATTCAAATTAATCATGCAATCCTGCATAATGCTTAACGCAGATACCTCTTGTCCAGTCAAATAATTGTAAACCAAAACTTTTTTTAAACTCGAACTGAAACTTTTTGACTCTTTCCTTCTTCCTCTGAATTGCTGCGACACTTTCACTTAGGCTTTCCTCTGGGCAAGATGCTTTGTGACTACCTTCTTTGTTCACTGAATATGTGCTGAGCTAACAAAAATGTAGGCCTCATAAGAAGCCCGTCCATATGTAAACCAAATATTGCGAATCCAGACTTGCTTTCCTCAATAATAAAATCATCTTGAATCTTGCTATGTTTCGTCACTAGGCATCTATTACACCACCACCAAATCAACCATATCGTGTCATAGAATTGACAGAATTCCATCTTATGATTACTCATTTTTGCTAAGATATAGCTGGTTGATGAAATAAAATGGCTTTTGCATTTCGAGCAGGGTTGGGTGAAGTAGAAGCTTTGTTCTCGACAAGGAGAGAGTTTGCCCTTTTACCTCATTGTTCTCAGTTGCTTATCTTTCTTTTAGATAATTTGTGTTATTTTGCTGTCATTAAAATTTGGTTAATTTCATAATTTCTTCCACCCATGTTTTTGATTTTCCGTCATTCCCTTAAAAACCAAAATGATTTTCTTAACTAAAAATTAATAGTTTATTTATCATACACATTTGTTATTACTTCTAATTATAAATACTTAAAATTATTCAAAACCAATTTCATAAATTTTTAATTAAAAAATATTAGATGAGATTGTTTTCATCATCATCTACAATTCTTGATAGCTTAAATTACCTTATCAAAGTTTTGGTCATCTTTGATGCTGTGCTTCATTCCAGTATCAGGATCAGCCCTCCAAAATTGAAATTATTATTGAAAGTTATTTTCTTTTAATTGAAAATAAAATCTCAAGTTTAAACTTTCATTTTGGATGTTTAATATCTAGTCTACTAAATCTGTATGAAACTTATTTAGATCAAAGTTTGGTTTGGTTTATTTGATTACTGCAAAGTGCATGAGGGCTATTTACGTAAGGAAAGGGATGCCTTTGTGGAGGACTTCTTAAGGGAAACTTTCTCGTATATGCATTAAACATGGGGAAAACCACAAAAATGCCCACGCAGTCAGCCCATTCACCGAGACCAAACTACCAGGGGAATTGAACTGCAGGCCGAACTACCAGTGTTCAGCAAGTTTACCGCTTGGCTGCTGATGAATTCTGTTTATATCAAAGAATCCAAGCAAAAGTAATTTCCATTCTAATTAGAAATTTTTTTTTCATTCTTTCATCCTTCATTTCTATTTCTTTTTTATTCTGAAGGCCTTTGGCTAATTTTTGTTGAAATTTTTCTTTTAAAAAATCATTATTATTTTTCAAAATGTCAACATCTGCACTCATTCTTCAATACTTTTGCTTCTTCAAAGTTTGCTTGACTAAAAGGAATTTATCACTGGAGATTGGTGGTAGAAAATATTTTTAATGGGGGTGGATTCTGACTAACTGTCTACTTAAATTGGGATGTAATGTGGTGTCACTTTGTGTTTACCTGATGACAGTACATACCAAATTCACATTAAATGAGGTTTTTCCTGTATATAATGCTTTGTTCTTTCTGTGACACGGCATTTTATTATTCGAAAGAAAAATTTGTTGTAGGCTCTTTCATTGTATAAAAGCAGGAGTAAATATCAAAGAGAACTGGAGGTATACTTGTAGAAATCTGTGCTAAAAATATTTGTTTGATAACTGTTCTGTTGTTTATAATTATATAATTGTACAATTGTATATTATATTAAATTTCAAGTCAAAATTTCTGTGCTAAAATTGTAGGTCAAAATTTATGCTAAAACTGTAATGTGCCTAATCAGCGGTTTTTGATGGCTTTCTCTAAAAAGATCTAAATTCAACAGAAGTGAACAACTCTTTATCCCTGACTCAGAATGTCCATAGCAAAATTTTATAATGCTCTAATGAAGATACATATTTTTTCAAATGTTTGGAAAGTATTTTATGTGTTGTGAAGTATATATACACAGACGCTAGATATTGATGTGTTTCAGAAAGGTAATTATACTATTTCTACTCCTGATGTTTTAAGACACACATTTTGTAATATGCAGTTCACAGATTGCTCAGTTAAAACTTTTTTAACGATATTGATGATTATAATTTTGATTGATTTTATATGATCTACAATCCATTTCATTTGTAAGCTTTGTAATCAGACGGTGCACTTCACTGTATTAGGTTATAAATTCCAGTATTGAGTGAATGGTAATTAGGTTTTAAGGGCATTGAATTTTGGTTTTACATTCTCTTAGAATATTTCAGATGTCTAACAGTAAATAGTTATGTCTTTTTTTTTGGAGGGGGGGGGCTAAATTATGTGTGAAATGCTTGAAAAATTTCTTTGTTGGATTTGGTTGTCTTAATCTGTTTAAGAAGTTGTTGATAATGTATTTTGAACATAATGTTTTATACATAATGTATTTTAAACTAAGGAAGTCCTTGAACTGAAATAAGTTGGTGAAAATAAGTTGGAGCTAGATCTGGAATTAAGGTGAAGGACCAAAAATCTCTTTTCTGGGGACTTTCAGCATGCTTTTGGTTCCAGCAACCCGAGTCCAGTTTTTATGGATGTTTCCTGACAATATATTATCTTGTAATATTGCTTGCATTCTTTGAACACAGTGTTTTGTGGTATAAATTTCACCAAAAATATGCTCTTTTCATCCTGGGAAATTGTCATTGACATCTTAAACTGAGTTTGTTGGAGTTTTTAATTTTTTCTTGGTTTCCTTTGTACCTGGCTGTCTAGTATGAAATCATATATTTAGGTATTAATAGTAGCAATTTTTATCATGCAAAACATTTCCATCTGCATGGTACCATGCAAATTAACATTAGTGAGTCTGTTGACTAGAATTTCTGTTTATCACACATTTGCTGATAAGCTTTGTCATGAACATGCTTTTTGTAGCTATGAAATATTCATTACAGATATTACTATTATTCCTTGAAATGCAAAGTGTACTAAAATACAGTTCCTCTTTTGTAATTTTTTAAAATTAAATCTTGATATTGAAGTTACAAATGCTTACTCCACAATGGTAATTTGTGACATTTTTAACAATTAAAAATATATTCCTTGTCTTAAATTCATATAAACTTCAACAACATCAGTTTAAATGTTGAGATATGTTTGTTGTAAAATAACATTAATATTCCAGATACATTTGTGGATTTATAAAATGCAGAGATGTAATGTACTTAGGATTTAAAATGTTGCATTTCATGAAAACGGCTCTTCATTTTGTTTTATTAATTTTAATGTGGAAATAAAATGTGTTTTTTCAAAACTTTATCCAAGACTGCATAAATTATTATTATTATTATTATTATTATATTATTTTTTGTGCTGTCTTTTTTATTATTATTATTATTATTATTATTATTATTTTTATTTTAAATAATTGGTAAATAATTTACTTTTTGGACATAAGTGCCTGATTAGAAGAAATCTTAGAAATCTAAAAAAATCTGACTATATATTGTTGTTCATATGTATGTTGGAATAATTCTATCTAATCAAGAATGTTTAGTTTTTTCTTCTTAGACTCTAATCAAAAATTTAAATTTTGTCAGTTGATTTGATAAATTTGAAGTCAGAAATTGTATGATTAAAATCATATTTTAATTTAGCTAAAGTGCCAGTGAGCAATTTAGAAGTAGTCCATCTTCTGCGGTCTCTACAACCTGTTCTTCAAGAAGCGGTGCAACAAAGGCGCCATCAAAGACTTTGGGAAGTCACATATCCGGTTCTTGGGCCACTGACATGGAGGCAGTTTCACAGGCTTGCTGGACGAGGTAAGAAACTGAATTTCAATTTAAGATGAAATTCCTTACTGTAAGAATTTTGGTGTATTTCCCTTGGACATGGAAGTCTCTTTTTCACTAATATTGCCAGGCACCATTTAATGGAATCTGTTGAAATTCAATTTTCTTTTTCTGATTTAGGTACTGAAGACCAGTGTGAACCACAACCTATTCCTTCTCTTCTTGTCGGTTATGATAAAGATTGGTTAGCATTGTCACCATTTGCCTTAAAATACTGGGTAAGTGTTTATTCAGCTATTTGTGAGATATTTCAGTAATTGAATGTTTCTTATAGGGGAAAAGATGCTTTATAAAAGAACTTAAATTAGTAATGAATGGAACTAGTTTTGTTACATTTTCTTTCTCTTTCTATATATATTCGGGCTACCGGAAAGTTCTGTCCGTCTTTGGAATAAAACAAAATACAAATTTTTCTTACAGTGAATAAACTTTATTAAAATAATATAATTGCCATTGTTATTAATGACTTCTTGCCAGCGTGAGAGGGCAATTTGTATATCCCATTTTTGAAAAATGATGTAACTTTTGATGCGAAAAATTGATCTGGTGCTTGTTTGATATCTACTTCATTTTTGAATTTTTTTGTGCTTCAAAAAATTTTGTAAGGACAAAAACAAATCCTATTTAGAGGGCACTAAGTTTGGGCAATATGGTGTATGTGACAGAATTTCCTAGCCTATTTCTGCAATTTTTTGGACGAGTTCCCAAAGCAGCATGTGTCCTGGCATGATCATGATGCAGTACCGATGTCCTTCCTGTTGAAAATTGCCGGCCTCATTTCTTGAACTGTTGTCATTAAATTGTCTAATTCTTGACAGTACTTCTCCAAATTGAGCTTTTTGTTCGATTTTAAAAGCTCATAATGTACTGGTCCTCGAATGCCCCACCATATGGCACAACATTCTCCTTAATCTGTCAAATTTGGTTTAGTGGTGGGAGGGCTAGGTTTTTTGGGTTCACAATATGCCCTTTCCCTTACGTTGTTTCCGTGGGTGATTCACTGTTCATTCCCAGTTATCATTTGGTTCAAGAAGAGCTTCATTTTGTTCAGACAAGCAGAGATGTGCGTATGACAACTCGATCATCCAAATTCTTCTGATTTAATCCATGTGGCACCCATCTTGAATATCTCCACACCAATGCTATCTTCCAAATATGGTTTGAAATAGTTTGCTGAGCTGAATTAAACCTTTCTGCGATCTCCGATGTTGTCACAAAAGAATCTTGCTCCAACATGGTCGTAATAACACCACCGGCGATCAAAGATGATCACCCAGAACGTGGCTTATCAGAAAGTTCGAAATCACCTGTTTCAAATTTTTTGAATCATCTTCTGCATGCCTTATCAGAAATTGTATCTTCACCAATCACTTTCAATAAATTTCTACATGCCTCTGTAGCATTTATTCCTTGTTGAAGTTCGTATAAAATACAGTGGCGTAAATGAACTTTATCAGTGGCCATGGGTACACTATCGCTTCACACTTAAGACTAACGTTAATCAACTTTGTTTTACTTAACTTGCTACTTTAGTATGTATACATAAAGCGATAAAAATAGAGAGCCAAACATACGGCAACTAAACATGTGCTTATGTGTTGAAAATTGTTGTCATAAAACTGACATAACTTTCTGGTAGACCAAATATATATATATCCCTGATTATAATGTAATAATATCCCCTGGTCATAATGTAATGGCCCTTTGGTGTAATTACTTGGAATGCATGGGATAAAAATAAAAGATAGCTGTGTTGCCAATATCCTATGAGCAGGCAACATAGACAAAAAGAGCTCTATCGCTCAACATAGATGCTAGGGCCAATGATCTTAGATGAGAATTGCTTCTGTAATCTCTGAAAAGATTTTCCCCTCCATCTCCCCCAAATAAACTTAAAAAATTATTGGAGGTTTAAGCGCAAATTTCATTTGGAAGGTTATTCTCCCATATGACCACTCCCCCAAATAATCTTAAAAAATTATTGGTTTAAGCGCAAATTTCATTTGGAAGGTTATTCTCCCATATGACCAACTGTGTAACAGCTGAAATTTTGCAGTTATTAGTTACATAGTTAAACAGAGTTTTCATTGCTGAATTAAAAGGTGTGATTTTGAACATTGCTTTGAGATCTATAGGGCACTACTCTCAAAAATCTCTGTTACCGAATGTCTTTACTGTGGGCCTTCATCTCTACCATATGGTATGCATTGGCATTTTACTGTTATAAATATTTCTGAAATTTTTCTGTTTATGATAGAGTAGAAAGAATGTTATTAATTTGAATAGGTTAACGAGGGGAGTCGTTTAACGTTATATTTTATAGAAAATTGCTAATAATTTTCAATTTAAATGCTAAAATAGATACTTCTTTTTCATTTGAAACTATGATGTCCAGTTTCTGTATCCTACATATGGGATAAATGTTGGCCCCTTTTTTATACTAATATTTTGCAAGCATAAGCGTAAACTGAGTTAATAAAAAATAAAAAAGACCTTTTTTTTGTTTTGTAAGTGTTATGATAATTTAACTAAATTATATGCTTTTAATATAATAAAAAAGAATTAATAATATATTTGTGTGTGTTTTTTGTCTGATAATACATTTACACATCAACTGAAACTCTTTCACATGGCATTTTGTTGTTGTTCTCCAAGTTTTGAATTACATATATGAGTATGTATGTGTGTTTATTTATGGCAGTTGAATATTAATTTTTTATAATTTTATTTTAATTACAGGACAAGTTATTGTTGGAACCCTACACTAACAGCAGGGATGTTGCATATGTTGTTGTAGCTCCAGACAGTGACTGTGTTTTAACTCATGTAAAAAAATATTTCAAGGAACTCAGTACTATTTATGAACTTTGTAGATTAGGGAGGCATTGTCCTATAACTAAAGTGTTACGTGATGGCATAATGAGAGTGGGGAAATCTACTGCAAAGAAATTGGCAGATGAACCTGTAGACGATTGGTTCAGTCTCATTGGTGATGGACCCATAGCAAGTCGGTTAAAATTGTATGCCCAGGCATGCCGATATCATTTAGGTAAACATTGTTTATTATCATTTTATAGTATCTGTTGTTGAGTTGCAAAAGAAATATTTCAGCTTGAAACAGTACTTATTTCTGTCTTTTATATGTGCATAAAATTTATACATTAAAGACATTTTTGTTATACATATTTTTATTCTTTTCAATGTAAAATTTTCAGCTGTTCTGATTAAAACTTAGTGAGAAAAAATAATGAAATTAAATTTACAACAGAGTAATGAAATTGAAGGAAATCCTGGTTATTTTTTGCTTAACTATTTTAGAGGTATAATTGTTGTTCAAAAATTTCTTTCTAAAAATCCAATTTATTTTATAATGTCAAAAAATGAGTTACAGTGATAGCCATGCCATATTCATCTGTTTAAAAAAAAATTAAATAATTTTTACACACACATGTAGTTTTATGATCATGCGTGTAAATATTAAAAAAATTAAGTGAATTTGGTGGTTAATCTTGATATCTATAATTTTAGTAGCAAGGCTTGGCAAATATTTGGGTTACTGTTTAATCTTTTTATTTTGTTGTAAAGTCTTTCTTTCCTTTTTGTGTGGCGTAATTTTTGGTGGCTTATCAGCATTTTGCTAGTTTTAAAATTCTTTTGGCTGTGACAGAACTTATTCATTGGTTTGTGAATTTCATGATAATTTTGAAAGAGCATAGTAATGTTAATAAGGCTAGTAATAATAAATTAAAATTATGCTCTAATAGAGAAATAACAGCAAAATAATAAAAATCCTTCCTGTTTCTTATTTCTGTTTCTCTTTCTTATTTCTTATATTTTAAAAATGTCTTTCACTTTTGACAGTTTTGAATACTTGTTGTGATATTTAAACAAATCGGTAAGTGTTGTAAAGCACAATATCTGAAATTGATTTTAGTTAAGCCAGAAATGATGCGTCAACCTCCATTGTTTCAAATCATCCAGATATGTGTCATTTTGTCACTGACATTGTTTCAGAAATTATCTGAATTTTGTTCACATGATGAAGTTGGTATGCCTTGCAGTTAAAAGCAATATAAATTGTATAATTTCTAGAAATCATCTGATTTCTGCTCACATGAAGCTGGTATGCCTTGCAGTTAAAAGCAATATAAATTTTATAATTTCTTTCATTTGATGTATTACTAATACTTCGTAATTTCCTACTTATATATTAAAAGGTAACATATAATAGTAAAAATTTAGAAAATGTAAGATTCTGAAAAGGATTATATTTTATTATGAGGCTGTATTTACTTGACAGAGTTTAAATATATTGGAGTTAATCTAATTGCAATAAATTTTAACCATTGTCAGGATTTGCTTCACTGTTCAGAGTACTTAAAAGTTCTAATTATTGAAGCAAGTTTATTCTTATTTCTTTAAATCATGCTTATATATATGAATATTTTCCAGTATGGACAAATAAATTGAGATGATTAAGGTTTTGTTTTGAATTGTGTAACTAAATATATTTGAAAAGGGATTTTCTGAACTACTAAGACTTGAGAATACAAGTTTGCTAAGATACAGTGAAACTTATAGATTCAGAGTTTCTTTTAAATGTTTGGTTTGTAAAATGAGGAAATGATGTTCCACAAAATAATATTTAATAGCATAATAAAAGGGAATTAATAATCAGTATAGAAATACACATTCAGTTTTTGCAATATTTTAATTAGCTTTTATTATTATTGTTGTTATTTAGTTATTAAGTTCATTTCTGTTTAAAATTGTGTATTCAAAATTCAAAATTAAGTTTTTAAGTTACAGGAAGTGCTTTTCTTATTTGAGATATCATTAAATACAATAAAATTTATAAGAATGCTCGTAGCAAGTTCATTTTAGTTTTGTTAGCTTTTAGTTGTTCATTTTAAAGTAAATATCGGATTGCTGTTCTATGGGTTTAAAATAAAGAATGCAAAAGAATAAGTTTTTGTTTGTAGCTTTAATTGAGCTATTGGGGAAGAAGATTAATATTTGGAGGAATCTAAAGGGGGAAAAAATTAGAGTTTCATTTATCCGGATGTGCAGTGTTAAAATTAATGCACAAAATAATAGTTATTTGAATAGGAAGTATAAAATATGATATAAAATTGCATTTTTGCTTTTGCCTTACAGCTCCACATTTAGCAACACAACCTTTGGATAGCAGCCTGTTAGAATCTCCTCCAGTTTTAAAACCTCCAGACAAACCTTTATCAGTTGCATCCCCCAGAACATCAGGAACAGAAAGTCAAGATAAGGATCAGTCATCTTTCAAATCTACAGAAACAGGTATATATAGCTTTACTGAAAAACTCAAATTGTATTGAGTTGCAATACTGGAAGCAGTGTAAAAGGCTGAAAATTTTAGCATCCAAATGTTCTGATATTGCAGTCAGTTTATTACAAATATTTATGCAATACATTTGACTTCTTATTAACTGGAGAATGCTGTAGATTCATAAAATCACAATTAATCTAAGGGCAGTTAAAGAAACACTGGAAAGAGGACATGTATTATAATTAAGAAACACTATTAACAATTTTCCTGTATTTTAAGGTGCTGTTTAATGAGAAGAATGATTAATTTATGATGTAAATTAAACCAGTTTTGAAAACAAACGCACTTAAATAATTTCTCATCAATAATCAACTTTATATTTATTCTGTAAGAATAAATATGAATAATGCCATTGGAAATAAACTAAATTCTAAAGGATTAGAAAACAGCGAGAGAATTTCGCTAGTGCCATTGAATTCAAACTTGGGTAAGCAAGTTAGAAAATTTTTAATTGTTACTGTGCCATATTTATGTTACCAATTGAGTACTGTTGAATTATTTATAGTACTTATAATTAAAACAGCTCCCAATATGTCATCATTTGCTGTCATTGCTCTTCCTAAAAACATTTCTTTTTCCTGTAGACAATTTTGTTTTATGCAATGATCTGTAACAGTAGTTTTTCAGTTGCTCTGTAACAAAACAAACTTATTTTTAAGACAAAGCTCAGTTTATCCACCTCACAGTTAATAAGGAGTCTGCAGTATTACGTTTTGGTGGGGGATTTCTAAAATTGAAATGTATTTCTGCCTGAATGCATGAATATTTACTAACAAAAGTGTTCAAATCTAGGTTCCCCCCTT